TCATGCAAATGGTGCAGTTCTAGTCTGTTAGACGTGCTTTCTGCATTGCCAGCTGAGGGGAGGCCACTGTAGAGGTAAGAATGTCAGAGTCTTAGGGCCACAAAACAACCAAAGCAGTGCAATAAAGGTTAATATCTTGATAGAGTGATAACTGTATTCCTCTGGAAGAGCTGGGGGGACCTGAGGTATAAATCCACCTGAGGCTGAGGGTTGTTTGAACCCAGGCTAAGGTCTGGGAGCTGCCCTTTGGAAATTAGAGTGTTCATATATCTCTACACAGTTACGTGAAGGTTTTATGTCTTGTAGTGCTAAATTTAGATGCCTATATCCAATAGCTGACCCAAAGCCTCTATTTTTTGTCAATTAYCTTCTAAGTAGGAAGTCTTGGTGGGTAGGGATAGCGTGTTAGTTTTGGGTTTGGTTTTTTTTTTTTCCTTCTCTGATATTTTTTATTTGCTATGATTGAAGTACGTGCTTGTTAYAAAAATAGGAAGTCTAATACTTGTGTTTAAAATCTTTTCTGGGAGAACATAGTAATGAAAGACTGGGCTTCTTTCCAGTACACATTCACATTCCAAATCTGAAATGGCTTTGTAGSAAAATAATTTCCATAAATTCTGCATATCCGCTAACAATCAGGAAATATAGTAAACTACCAATTTCTATTATTTTTGATACTGTAAAATCAGAAATTAAGATAGGAGGCATTTTAAATTAAAACAAAAATTTAAATAAAATACCTTTAAATTCTGTTTGGAATAATGTAGTTATTACTTACATTAGATACCAGCTGGAAGAAAAAGTAGAGATTTTTAAATTTTTTTGTCTTCATTGCTGCTTAGTGTCAAAGAAGGAACTAAAAGATCAAATAAATTTTTAGGAGTATTTAACTGGTTTGCTTTCTGTACTTTAAGAGAACACTCAGCATGAGAATCCTGATTTTATATTCAGTGTGTATAGTCCACTTACAGCTAGAAGGATATTTATGTTTAGATACTTACATGTATCATATRTCAAAGATAGTTTCATAGTTATCTTACTTTTGCTTTATATTTGATTAACTGTAAATTACTGAAAATCTCTCCTTCTTTAAAATTCTCTTCACATATCTAAGCCTTCGTTTCTGCTGTGGTGCAAAAAACTTTGAAAACACAGCCTAAATCCAAGTAAATACCTGTTCAAGTATAATTTCAGACARCCTGAAATTATAGTTGTGAAACATTTGACCATTAACATTTTGTATCTTACTTCAATAAGGTAGAAATAACCTACAGATACCACATCCTCCAGTTTCTTCTCTGACATTAGCAACATGCTTCTTCATTATATATACTTGACATTTTAAAGAGCAGTTTGAAACTGAAGATATTGGGAGGGTATTTTAAGTTCACCTCGGTGTAGAAGAGGTACATTGAAGGAACATTTGTGTGAAGCAACCTGTAACTGTGTAATATTTCCTCTGTTTCAGTATGTCTAAGCATTATTTTAGCCAAATTWGTTTCTTTGACAAATTTTCTACATATTTTATGGAAACAGCTGGTTCACAGAGAAAGCCCCAAATACCCTCTCTGATGAACAGGTTACAGAACCATCTGAGTCATATTTTTTAGCCTGAGATTGGGAGTGTAGGAGCAAGCACCATAAGATACAACAGGAGGACCAGAGGAGAAGCCTGCATCACAAGTTCTGCTTTTATCTCTTCAGTACAAGACTTCTGTTTAATGGAAGCTGTAAGAAAATGTAGTTTGCCAGGATAGAGCACTTGGAATCCAACCAAAGACCGCCCCCCCAAAAAAAAAATCTGTTCAGCATAAACTTTTACACAGCAAAGAAATATTCTAAACAGCAAGAAAATATTATTTGCTAATGACATGAAAGTTTTTAACATGTCCACGTGCTAGTGGGGCTGCAACCCTGGTATTTCAAGGGTATCCTAAAATCTGAGCCACACATAKGTTTGGATTATCCTGCATTTAGCAGGAGCAAGGTTGCAAATCCATCTGGTTGAATTGAGGACTTGAAAATTTTCCTCAGTGGCACAGAAGTTAGAATATGCAGGGAGAACTGGGATTTGGAAACACAGTACAGGGAACATAAGTGCTTGAGCAAAGGCCATAACATCTTGACAAATGGTGTGATGCTTGCAGTGCCTTTGGGACTTGAGCAAATTGGGGATTTCTGTGTGGATTGGGAGTGATTTTTGTGCTGTCTACATGTACATAGTCAAAATAGAGGGCACAGAAATATTTTTAAGTTCTTCCTCCTGACGCTTTCTGACAGCTTTTCTTGACTATGAAATATTGATGCYGACATTTTTTTCCCTTCCACTTCCTTCCCTTCAAGCCTGATACGAATTAGTTGTAAAGGATAAAACTAGCAGACTCTAGTTTTCCGGTAGATTTTCCACTGTGCCATCTGCTGGTGATGCAAAGCAAGTGAACATTGCAAAGTCCGGTCTTCCTGCAATGCTGAATAGTTGTGTCTCCAGCTGAAGACTGTAAAAGCAACAGGTTCAGAGTGTCCCTGATAAAGTTTAACTTGGGACGAAGTAATTTGTTACTTGAAGAGAATCAGTTGTAGTTAGGTAGGCACGATCACCTTAAAGATTGTTCTTTCTAGGATTCTGTCACTTAAGAATGAATTAGTGGTGATATTGTAAGCGTTTACCTAACAATACCACAGGTGCCTCCCTTTGGAATTATAGCCTAGTTCTGAAACACAGAAAACAGTGGAACATTTAGGTTATTTGAGCAACTGTGAATGAAATGCTTCTGATTATCAGATGACTGCTATAATCGAGACTGCAGGTAYACGCATGGGGGGTTTTATCATTAGGAGACAAATATGTCAACTGAAATTTATACTCTAACATTTGAGTGCTCCCAAAGACTTGCATTCTTCCAACACATGGATATTTTAAGTTCAGGAAGTCATGGGTTTCAGGGTGGATCCAGCTAGACTGTCGACTGAATACCACTCACATGTTACAGTGTATGGTAGAGAAATACAGTACTTCAACAGAAGAGAAAACCTTCATTGGCAAAGGTTTGCAGTCATTGTGAAAACATTCTGAATCTAACAAATCTAGTAAATTCTTGCTGAATATTTGGAATTTTAATATTTTTAAAATAATTTATCATTGTTTGTCCCTATGTGTGYTTAAATCACAAATAGAGATAAGGAAGAATTTATACCATGAGGGGAATGAGCCATTTGAAATTGATAGAGATGAGCAGGAATGTTTTCCTCTGGTTTTAAAGTTAACAGTATAAAGTTAAAACAATTKCAGGATAGTGTTGAGAGAATTTGCAGTAGTATTTTCTTATTTTTCTTTGTCCCTTYTCAGCTGTTGGTCTGTCAAGTTCACAGCAAAAGAAATGGGAGCACTGTTATTGCAAACACCACCTCTAATACTGCAAATCCACAGAAGCCTGTACTGTGTAAAGACTGGCTTTTCAAAGTATAAAAGTAATGCAAGATTGCTCATATATTTGTTGTGCTTTATAAGAAAGAAGATTGAATCTATTGATCCAGATTTAGTGCAATTTCACAACAGGGCARTGATTTTCATCTTCGTTTTTGTCTTAAGACATTTTTCATGGCTTCTGTACTAGTCGTAGTCATTCAAAATTTAGTACAGTGTGGCWTTCTTGTAAGGCCTTAGGTGAAATRATGTTAAAACATCCTTAAATGTATGATTTGTTTTGCTACTAATTAACATTTAAGACACCATGTTCACCATCTTGTGCAACATGCTGTTGAACTTAAAAACAGCTATATCATGTAGTTGCATATGTAATTGAAACAGTACTTCAACAGTCATTATATAACAGTGGGCAACCCTGGCCCTGGGCAGGCAGGTGCTGGGCATGCAGGCAGTAAGCTGTAAGTGGTGGAATTAAGAGCTTTAACCATGCATGAGATGGATGCTATCAGTTTGAAATGGTGCCGCTCTCGTCACCCCAACTGATCTCTTCCCCTTGTCACTGGGAAGAGACTCCCAGTCATACTGGGTAGGTCCAGTGTCCTTCTTTATGTAATGAAGGGTGGAAAGCTGGAGGTCAACAGGCACAGTAGAGCCATGGGGTTACCCAGTGGAGTTACTTCACTTGCTTGGTGGTTGCAGACTCTTGAACGGACAGCTGAGAAGTACGATGGGGATGGGAATGGGAAGAYCATGTGGACCTTGATAGTTAATAGTAATACATTTGTAGAACTTGTCTGTACAGTTTAAGAATTAATGTTAAGTAAGTGTGGTTGGTATTTATTTTTATTGTTATTTATTTTTTTTTTTTGTTTTGGTTTACATTTTACATATCTTGGATGCCTTACTGCAATGCTGTGTATACACTAGTATTTGTAGTCGTAGCATATCTCCTGTTCAGATTTGTTCTAAAAGCGTTGCATATTCTTAATTAGTTCATGGGCCAGTTTTTAAATCTTAGGTTGCATGACAGCCAGCAGTAGAGAGCCTGATAGTACATCATTATTTTCAAAGAGAAGATGCAGAGCTTTTAACCAACATTTTCATTTTTCAGAACAACTTGTTTACATTTTGTCAGCATCTCACTTGTCTGTGGAGTTCCCAGTCTATCAAAGTGCCATCAACAGAACTTTAAAACAAATTAGAGGCTAGCATAGAAACAAAAAGCATGGCCATATTTCTTTTCACTGAGCAGTATTAATATAAATATTAATATAATATAGTATAATTAGTAGTAATGTAATAAAAGTAATAATAACCAGTGTAAAGTTCAGATTGAAGTGTTCTATGATCTGTTCTACTGTTTAACTCCCAGAACCAGTGTAAGCACTATCATTGTGTCTTGGTGTTTAGATTTAGGTGTAGTTCAGTGATTATAAAACAATTGAATAAGATTTTGAAAAAGATGCACTAGAACGGTTCATTAATTCTTTGGAGAAAGGATTTATCTTTTCTGTAAAAATATGTGTGGTGATGTTTTTCTAACTTTCTTTTTTTGTTTGATGTTTTGTTAAAGCGGGTGAACACTCAGCTGTTATTCCCAGATGTGGTCCAGCAAGTCCACTTAGAGGACAATTAAGTACTAAGAGTAATGGTAAGTAATGTATACTTTCATCAGAAGGTCCACCTGGTTCTTTTTATGTGAATTCATTGATTTTTTTAAGTGTTTTTATTAAAACCTTTGCATCAAGCTTATTTGGAGAAGTTTAATAGTACTTAGATTTAGTATGCATTACTGAAAATACTTTAAAGGAACAAGTTTTGTCTTGACTGTACTGCTGGCTACAAATGGGCAAGATAAGCAAATATATAAAGATATCTCATCTGTATTACCTGTAACATGCATATGTATGTTTACCACGTTAAAGAATCCCTGCGGTTAAACATTTTCCTTTAYAGTGAGTAGTTTACATAGGCTAGTGTATGTTTCTGTGCCATACTGACACCTCAGATACTTCTTTTTCAGAAGAACATAGAGTGAAGAAACAGGAAGTTCCCCTATTAACATTTTCATAGTCCAGTTTCAGCCAGTTTTGTAACTATTGAGTTAATGGCTCATTGGAGAAAGCAAAAGAAGACAAGATGATTTCATGTGATAGTAACTGGTAAAAAAAAATTACTGCCTGTGAGCAAAGGAGTTAAGCCAACAGTGTTTTAAATTTTGTGACTTTGAATTGCAGTTATGAACTGTTTAAAACTTTATTATTCTTTACTTGCCTTTCTAATGTTCAAATGTATTTTAATCTTAAGCTTTCTGCATTGAGTCCACTCGAAGTCTAATTAACCAATACCTGATCAGAGATAACATGGTGGTTCATTACAACAGAATCCTTTCAGCCAAAGGTAAAAAGGAGCATGCATGAATGAGCTGTCTTCCCCTAGATTTAGCTCGATGTCTCGGAATGGGCTCATACCAAGAAGAAATGAACTGGATTGTAGRAAGTTTACTGCTTTTCCTGTTTCTTACCCGAACTGGTGTCAGCAAGGAGATGTGGTTGCTACYTAATAATACTTAGGTATTATTGAGATGGGAAGTTTTGCATGAAAACATTTTCCTTAAGTGTTACCAAACATCCTGCTCTAATTTTAGAACATTTTGTGCTGTATTGGCATCATTCTGCTTTTGATGAAATAATGAATTATGAAATAATATGCCGGACTGACAGTCATAGTGGTAGTCGTAACAGCAAACACACAAAAATTATTTTAGGAATGAAGGCAGAACATTTCCGGTTAAACTCGGACCACTATGTCTTTTTAGTTTTTTTTCTCAAAAATTTCTTATTTTTGTTCATCTGGCAATGAATAATAGTAGCGAGTTCTAAGGACTTTGAAAATTGCCATGTGTGTTTGCAAATGAGAARATCATGTTACTGCCAGAGTCCTTACTCTGGCAGTAAGGACARATAAGGCAAATACAATACTCACAATTTTATCTTTCCTATAACATACTGGGTATCCGCAGGTATGCAGGTAAATGCCATCAGCACAAAATGTACAGAAACCCTTTGAAAGGAGTTTTCATTTAAGTGGTGATTCTTCCTTTAGGTATGTATTTTATCCAAAAAGCTTTATCTCACAAATCCTGTGACTGTGTCAATATCAGCCTAGTTCTTCAAGTACACGGTAATTAGCATGTTTTAAAATATAGAAGAATTAAATTAGTCTTTGTTCTGTGTTGGTTTAGTGCTACATTTTTCTAGCTGTCGCATATACTAAGTAAATATTGAATCACTCACTTTGGTGTTTTTCTTATTTTTAGCAGTTGTAGATTGCTCARTGCCCAAAAGTAGGTTGAGCAGCATCAAATGTAAGTATTCGTTTTAATTTGGTTCTGCAAAATTTTGTGTAAAACTGACTTAGCAAAACAAAAGAGCCAGCATAGAARAGTAACAATAGAATCTAACCCTTAATAGAGCATTCATGTATCTGTTTATTCAGCTTTCACATCTTTCTTCAGCTACTTGTAGGCATCTGCAGGGAATGGAATGCTGACTATGAATCAGATAAAACATGAATCTCCTGTACAGGGTGTCAKGGAAACATTTCACCTTTCTTGCTGCTTTTTACTCCTCTATTTGGTAAAATTGGTATTCTAAACTGATATCACTGAAATTATCTTTCACTAAATTGATTATCACTACATTGATCTTTTACCTATTTTCAAACTGGGCTGGAAAAAGCTGATGCTGTTGTGTTTTATCTTACTAGAATACTAGAATACAATCAGCATAGMCCTAGAAGGTCTTTCCTTTTCATAAAGGAAAAAAAACCTTAAAGGTAAGGGAGAAAAAAAATAAAGCCTTTTATTACAAAAAAAATTCCTTGATTTACCTTCTGTTATAATAGCTTAAGACTTGGGAGTGCTAATTCTTATTTAGTTGGAATTTATTGTATTCCCAAAATAAAGCTGGTTCCTAAAATGAAGAGGGACTTCATAGCTCAAGGATTCAGATCCTACTCAGTAAAACAGGACTTACTTGGAATGTTGGGCTGATTTCTTGGCCTTGCAGAACTAGTATCCATCATAGTTAAATCTTTTAGATTTAGCTCAGTTCTAACAGTTTGTCACCTTGATGTTTTGCACTGAGCTGAATTGTACAATTATCAAATGAAAATAAATTCGCTCTTTCTAAAAATACTTAACAAAGCAATAAAAGGTACTGTATTTTTTTTTTCCCTAAAAGAGTCTTCTCAAGACAGTATTATGCCTCTTGCCCCARTTTTTGGGTTTATTTTGTGAGGTGCTTCCTGTTGCCTGATAAGAGTGCTAACTAAAAGATAAAAAGTAAACATCTGTGAACAATATCTGTTTATCAGAATATTCTTCAATGTGGTGTTTTTAYTTTGCAATGGGGGGACTTTTTGAAGTCATTTAGACCTCCTGGAGCTTCCTGTTCCATATAGGACTTCTGCTGACASTAGATCAGTCAGACATGTCTTGGAAACCTTCAGAGCTGGAGATTCTGCATCCTCAATAACCTGCTCCACTGTTGTAATGTCTGTGGGTCTAAAAGGTTTTTTCCAGAAGTTCAATTCAAATAGTGTCAGGATTAGAGCTCAACTTACTTGAAAGCATTTATCTTGATAATTCCAGTTTTAAAAYGCAAAATTTAAATGGTTGATTATAAGGGTTATAGATGCTATAACTTAAAATGTTGTTTAATGATGGTCAATGGCAAAAGTGTCTCAACTGGAAGAGATAGGATAATCTTAAGTATCTGATACAGATGCATAGACAAAAAACATGRGCCTTTCTTAAAAAAAAAGCCTTTGAGGATTTCTCACACTGCTCAGTTGTGCATGTAACTGATTTTTTTTTTCTGAACTGCTTCCATTTATATGCTTTTCCATCTGATTGAGATCTGTTTACACACCGATAAGAAACTACCATGTGGTCTGAAATTTTTGCAGTTATCAAAGAGGTTATTCCATGGGAAACATCTACTTACAAATTCATCATTATTGATCTCACTGCCTGCAAGGTATTTAAAGTTAAGACTACYCAGGCATACCTGGTTCAGTTTTCTGCACTATCCTTATAAATTCTAGATTTTTTAGAATTAAATAAGAATTTATTTCATACCTAAATTCAGAATGGTTACATTTTTAACATATATACACTGTTAAGCTCAGTGCAAGGTACCATTTGTAGAATCTCTGGTAATCCACTGAAGAATCGTTTTTCTTCCTCTGTCTTTTATGAAACAGGTTAGGTGGAGATGACASCCAGTAGCTTAGGCAGTAAGAATGCTAAAAATGGATTGAGGAAGAAAAATAATGGAAAAGGGGTTTTAGAATATTTTCAAATAATTTCTTCTTTTTTGCTCAAGATGAGAGACATGATTTTTCTAGGCACAGTTTTAACTTAAATATAGTTGATTATTAGCAGTATCTCTGTTGTGTCACTGAGGATGAGATGTTTGCACCTTTATTCTGCCTGTAGTCCTGTGTCTGTCATTGCTTCAGTTGGAGCATATTATTACTTTTATCTCTTTATATTCTTTGTTTTACWAGTTACTGACTTCTAAATAAGGTTTCTCTTCCCCTCTGTTTCRAAAGAGATTTGGGCAGGGGGATAAATTTAGTTTAAAATTGTAAGATTTATTAATAGCATAGAATTAAAAACRTAATTCCTGCAGATAATGTTAAAAAAAAAAAACCAAACCTGAAAATGTGCTTCATGTACCACTAAAATAGCAGGTGAGTATTTCCCTTTGGGGTTGTTGCCATGAATCAGTCATTAGTGTTTAAGAATTAAACATSATACTGTAGTTGGCATTCTCCCTGGCCAACTGAATGTGTTCTGTCCTTAAAGTGGATTTAGTTTCCACTGTTCTTTTCCTGGTATCTTAGCTGGCAGCAAAGCAGGCAAGATGCCATGCCCCTGGGCTAGCAGTGAGCATGTTCCTGTGTATTAGATCAGACTTACTGTCTTAAAATAGTTGTTAAAATGTGAAACTTCTTGAAATGTGAAACTTGTATGTTCAGAATTGTCCAAGCATGTTGATTGATACCAGTGGCCATTAGAAGTCTGTGGTTGTGAAACTTGTGCCAGACAACTTGACAAAAGTYATGCCAAGTAAGACAGCTGCTGCTACACATGCCTGGTTTCTAATAGTACTGACTTTTCAACCCATATGTTTAGAGGTTTTTCCACAAGGCTTATTGATAGTACAGCTTGAACCCAGTGATGAGTGTGCTTGGGAATGCAGGTTCTCCTTGATACTGGGACAGGGGAAGTAGAAGAAGAAGAAAAACAAGTATTCTGAGAAGTTACCCACCATAGATCTATTTTAGCCTGATGGAACTTGAATACTTGGAGGGAGGGCAGTGAGAGATGGGGAGAGGCAACAATTCAGACTGATAGTAATGTTGGTTTTGTGCTCTTTAAAGGGGTTAAGTTCAAGCAAAAATATCAAGAAATGCATATTGTTATGTAATTCCGTAATTCTGTATTTATATCTTAATTTTTCATGTGAACACATATATCTGTCTATGCTTTATGCTATGAAGAGCAGATCTGTTCAAACCTGTCTTACATGTTTTGTTGTTGCTGCCATTTTACAGGAAGCTTTCAAAAGTCTCCCTATTTTTTTCTGTTAAATCTTGTCCTTACATATTTATTTCTGAAAACGAAAGTTACAAACAACTAATCTCTTTAAATTCAAACACTCAGGTAATTCTAATGCCTATGTTTTCAGAGTTCAAGTATGTCTTTGGAAAGGTGTTCTAATGTATTTATGAAGTCTGAATTTTTGGTGAGCAGGAAAACACTCTTTATGAATCTGTACTTTTAACTGTAGTGATTTTACTTTATTCCAGAAGTTATTTACTGTAAARGTTCTACTATAGAAATAGGTTTTTTTATGAGGGGTAATTAATTTTAGATATGCCCATCAAAAGTACATTTTTCACAGCTTGTAGTTGTGTAAAGACTTTAGATGCTCTAGTCTAACATCATGAGTTGAGCAGACCAAAAGTTCCATCCAGTTGTGCTACTATGGAACTTAACAGCTATATTGAATGTGATAAATAAAGTGTATAAACCATAAAAGTTTGCAGTCTTGTAAGGATCAAGCAATAGAGAAAATATAATTTCCTTTTTTAGATGTTTCAGCAGTTATTCATCATTATTATTGAATATGTTTACCTGATTTTTTAATCTAATTTACCCAGTGTAACCATCTGTCTGCTGGTGGGGAGGACTGTTGTTTTTATACAATTATCCACCATTACCAAGAATTACAAAATAGCCATTAGCTTACCAGAGAACAAGAATAAAATGATGCATTCCACTTATTTTCAGCATTATCTCAGTACAGTGTCTCTAAATTGTCCTTAGGGGCTGCCCCAGTGGTACCTTGAAACAAAAATCACTGTCCAAAGCCGCCTAGAAGCCCAGTGGACCTCTCTAGGGTATAGAAATGGAGGTTTACCTGGAGGCTTAGACATTTCCCTCAGGGCTGGTGCAGCGCTCCACAGGTTTGCGCAGTAACTGTTGGCCAGCTGCTGTGTTCTGCATATGGCTCACAGAAGAATRTAGGAGATGTCTGCTGGATGAGGGCCCCATATGAGCATCAGAGGTGGATGGATTTGAGATAATCCAGTGCTTCTAGCCTCTTCTGAATTGCCTTTGAAGCATTCATGTCTCACTGTAAGGCTTTATTTCCAAACCGTAGCAGTGACCAAATTTTGCTACTAGTAGCTTTGCCAAGTAGCATCACATTTCTGAAGTACATGCCCTCATATAGACATTACTTTCTATTTGGTGCAAGCAAGGCTTTCTCTTCAAGCCCTTAATGAATACTCTCACCCTTTTTTATGGTGATTCCTCCATTATTTGATGAAACAGTGCTACTGATAACAGATGTGAAGATGGATTGCAAAATTCTCTTAGAGTTACAAAAATTAAAATTTCTGTGTTGAGGAATTTAGATTTAGACTTAACAGAAACCTGAACTTCGTAGACAATGACAAAATTCAGTTTGCATTTGATGAGACCTCACCCCAGGTGCTTAACCATGGCATATTGGGGATTTGTATAGAGCTAGGAAACTGATAGTAAAAATGCTTAGAGAAGTAAGAGCTTGCTTGCAGAAGTAATATCACTAATCAACTGACATGCTGGACACTAGTTATGGTCACTGCAGGTACTTCAGGGTCAGCCAAAATGRTGCTTGTATGGTTTATCTAAAAAGGGAAATAATGAAGTGTGTTATTGCAAAAAATAGCTTATATGAAARCATAGTAGTGCTGAGTGTTAGGATAATTCCTTTGAGATACATTGTTCTGCAAGCTGAACTCAATTTAAATTTAACTTAAAGTTCATTGTCTACCAGTTGTTTTCATCAAAAATGTTAACTTGAAGGTTAACTGCCAATTTCTCTGTGATGTGACATATGATAAATTTAGCAATCGGAAATTCAGAGCAAAGGACAACCACTGGCATTCCAGATCATCCTTCTAAGTGCAGGGCTTTCAAGCTGACTGGGATTGTGATATATATGATTAATTTGTTTTTTCCATGTTTATAGCATTTTTTTCATAACTCTCAGCACGTCTTGAAATGCTGCTGCAGTCTACACTTCAGGAAAAAGTAATTAAACCTATGGAGGGAGTATTTTAAAAGGGAAATAAAGTGATCTGATAACTGTTTGAAGTGTGGTGTACTCTGCAAAAGGTATTTGTCTAGACAGAAGTGTTCCTTCTGTGACAGACTGGTCAGTGTTTTATAGGTATCTCTTTATGAGGAGTGCTACAGTTTAATGTCTGAAATTCATGGTCTTTCTTGTGCTTCCTTTCACTGACAACAAAATTAAAAGAACAGATTCATGGGGTGAACGCAGTAAGTTATGGAATCTAGTTTCACAGACTGAACTTTCATGATCTACAAAATCAATAATTTGTTTATATTGTAGTACATTTTCTCTTGCATTCCTAAAGATTAAAGAGATGAAGAGCAACCCAGTGTTTTTCATTTTTTTTCTTYATTTATTTGTCACAAGACACTTCATATGATGTGCTTTTCCCATATTTAACTCTACAAATGTGATATGGTCCTGGAGCCAAATAAAGCTCCTTGCAGTGAAACTATTAAGTATCTGTTATGAGATACAGTTTATGTTTAGTTCCCACTAGTCTATGATAGTAAGCCAAGGACACTTTTGTCAAATTTAGTTTATGAACCTCTCTGAAAGCTAGAGAATCTATGTCTATGATGGATTTGAAGCAGAAGATACCTTAAACAGTGAGCAATGTTTCAGTTAACAGCTACATCTCCCTTTTCAAACTGCATGTCTCTTGAATGCTGGTCTCATTCTTTCTGTGTTTAATATATTCACACTGCAGCACAARTGGTTATCTATGACAGCCTTAAGTATCTTCAGCTCCTCTCAGTTTTAATACTGTAATTAGTACCCCAGAGTTCCGGGCAAATTTTCTATCTGGCTGAAGTCAAATGGGAAGACTGGATTCTCCATTCCTTGCTTGGGTAAAGGATGTGTGAAGTAAGGGAAGGTAGAGCAGCATGCCTGTTTTTGCATTTGTGTTGTTTGCTGAGTGCCTCCAGGCTATCCTAACTTACCTCCAGCTGTCTGTTTACATTAACTCTTTTCAAGAAGTATTTCTCCATCTCTTGCTTTGCTGGTTTCACGATTCCTAGCTTTTACCACAGATCTAGCCTGAAAATTCCGAATCTAACAGTAAGATGTGTACACTACTGGGGTTTTCTTTGCATGTCTGTGCTGCCTTTCAGTACACATGGGTGACTTTATGGCTTTTGGAGCACACTTAATGGATTAACTGAGCTAAGCTCATTGCATGACAGCTGTGAGGCAAAGACTTTACATTTCCCATGCCGGTGGTGGTAGTCCCAGTGGGTCATTCTGACATCCCAGGATAACCTTAGCTGGAGTACTTACTGTTCTTTCATTCTTTATTCTTGGGTGTAAGCCATATTTTGGGTGCCAAGAGTCCCAGCACACAATCTTGGCGGAGGTTTTTTCCAAACCTTTGAATGCCAGTAGTAAAGTCATTTGTGTATGTCAGATTTCAAGAGTTTATCCTGTAAAGAGCAGAATAAGAATAAGATGGGAATTCTGTTTTGCGATACTATTCACACGGCTTTGCCCTTTACCCAAACACTCCTGTCAAGCTGTTGTGTGCAGGTGGAATGTGCAGTAAAGTGATAAAGCTTGTGTTAGGCAAACCCACTTTTCACCTAAACACTTTAGTGTAAGGAATTTGCTGTCAGACACCTGCTCACCCATACCATACTTTTGCATTATATGCATTTTTGCTTTGTAGGGCCCTCATTCACCCGTTATTTCTCTAGATATTTGTTTGGTACAGATCAGCCATTGCCTTTTCACCTCAGCAGTAGGTAAGATGTGAATTTTTACAGCCTCCATGCATGTGCACACACAGACAGTTTTGGCCCAGTATCATATAAAACTTCTAACCTTAACTAATTTTTAAGTGCTTGTCTGTAACTTCTAAGACAARAACAATTAGAAATAATTCAGAGTAGACATGATAACTCAGTATAGAAAGAAAAACGTTCAGTTTTAATTATTTAATGTTACAGTATATTTTATCTTTCTGTTATAAGGCATATTTTTAACTCAGAGTTGCATAAAGTAGCATTTTTTATTTTCAGCTAATACTTTCCCAGTGATATAAACAATTCTGTTGGAAGTACTCTAATAGCATATGGTAGATAAATCAGCAGCCATAAAATAAATTACTTTATATTTTACATATCAATTATAAGAATTGAAAGAAAGAGAAAGAGGGATTTTCCTAAGCAATGAGAGCAAAGATTTTTCATTTGGAAGTTTCATCTCTATTTTAAAAGAGGGCTAAAATGTTTAATGCAGTGAATACACATACATAAGTGTTTCCTGGAGATTAACWTATATGTAGGCTACATGTACACAGATGGAGGAATTTTAAAGGTTGATTAAATGTCCTCAGATTGCTGTAGGTCTCAGCTGTTTACCACACCAATCCCTGAAGTTTTTTACATTACCATGCTTTATATATMGTAGTGTATGTGCAGACTGAGGTCTATCAGAGTATGAAATAAATATATTATGAAACCAGAGAAGAAACTAGAAATCCTCAAAGGCCTTTCTATGTGTCTCTATCAAACAAATGGTTCATACATTTGTATGTGTTAAGTTAATGAGAAAACAGGTTTAATTCGGTATACACTTCAAAAGTGTTCTTGCTTTTTTTTTTCCTGTTTGGAAATTAAATTATTAATGTTTTCATCAGGGTGTTYGGGTGTTTTCAGCTTTGTGCGTTTCAAGTACTTTGTCCAGTTCTGAACCTCTCATTTCAAGGAAGACATTGAGGTGCTGTAGTGTATCCAGAGAAGGGCAGCAAGGCTGGATAGGGGTGGCTGAGGGAACTGGGATTGTTTAGTCTGGAAAAAAGGAGGCTCAGGGGCGACCTTATCACTCTCTACAACTGCCTGAAAGGAGGCTGTAGCCAGGTGATGGTCAGCCTCTTCTGCCAGGCAACCAGCAACAGAACAGGAAGATACAGGCTTCAGCTGTGCCAGGGGAGATTTAGGTTGAACATCAGAAAGAATTTTGACATGTAAAGAGTTATCAAGCWTAGGAGTGGCCTGCCCAGGAAGGTRGTGGAGTCACCATCTCTGGAAGTGTTCAAGAAACAGCTCAGTGTGGCTCTCGGTGCTGTTCTTTAGTTGGCAAGGTGGTGTTTGGTCAAAGGTTGGATTTGATCTTGGAGGTCTTTTCCAACCTAAATGATTCTGTGTTTTATCTGTGAAACCTGGGTGCTCAGAATATGAATAACCTTTGGACTGTATTATGTAAGAATCAGGTGACTGATGGCAAACTCATACACAGAAAATTTACCCATCATTTGGGCTCCTTTATCTGATGACATAGATACCTGACTCATCTTTTCACACTGCAGACAAGGTCTTGGACTTCAGACCAATGTGGACCAATAAAAATCATCCCCTCCTGATCTGACAGTAGGCCTCTCACAGTTGGCTTTCATTTTTTATGTTCTTGACATAAACTTGGTTGTTTTGCCCTGGATTTCTGTATTTGGGAGACTACTCCCTATTGTAAGAATGGATTYTTTTACATGTCAGATTTGCTGACAATAAACACAGGTTTTTCTCTGAAATACTGGATGARAGTACAGGCAAAAGAGTTCTAGCTGTAAAAAATTGATAGAAAGCTTGTAAGTTTTTGAGAAAAATGCTTTGTTAGCYGTACTGATCCTGGAAGTCATGTGTGCTTGTGTTTGTTGTGCAGTAAGAAAACTTAAGAAAAGTTCAGGCACAGCTTAATTTACCAGCATGCTCTATTAAAAAATTTTCTTATAGGAGTAAACATAAACTTCTAACTGCTGTGTGTTGGAAGTGGAATCTATCACAATAGTCTGACTTTATTGAACGATTAGAAACCACTACAATGTTTTCAAATCACTTAAGGAGAAAAAGAATATTTTGGTTTGGATCTGACTAACTTTGTCTCTTCCCTAAGTTGCTGACCAGCAAAGAAGAGAGAAACTGAAAAAGAAGATAGACAGGTATGAAGAGAAAATGTGTGAAGGTGCCTCCCGAGCCTGTTCAAGAGATCGTGCAATGATGCTGCCACCCTGTTGTGCAAAGGTGTGTGTTTTAGTTTGGTTTAGTAGATRCTATCATATACTTGCCTCCCATAGTAATAGTTGATCATTGCTATGCAGCAGTAAGGGCTGGCATCTTTCAAGAAGCAGAAAGTAGACRAGGGTCTTCCTGGCATGTGCCCAACACTGAATGCATGTCTCGACCTTCTGACAAAGATGTCAGGTGTCTCGACTGAAGAGTGCTTGCAGTAAATAGAACCTCTAATTACCCTTGAATTCTCTTGCTTTCACCTCAGCTGAATTCCCTGTCCTCTCTGTCATTCCACAGCTTCGTACCATTTTCTAAGGCTGAGCGCTTGTTACTTCTTACCATTCCGAGCAGAAGAATGAGGAATCTTCCATTTTTTTCTTAATGCAAAGTCCTATTTGATAATACATTTCATATCTAACAATATACTACCTTCTTCAGTTGCATCTCTTGAAAAGCAAAAATAGTGTTTAGACCAGAATATACCATTCTGTATGTATATATTTTATTTATATGCATAGGCTCACTTAGTTTGATTGGCATTTCATCAAGATATGTGATGTATTTYCAACTATATATAAATAAATACATAAATAGCTTGTAAATTACGTTCTTGTTCATTATTGCAGCTTAAAACAAAAATTATTTAATTCTGTTGACTTTAACAGTGTATGCTTCATACATTATTTAAATATCTGTAAAGCTGGAGGACATTTCCAAGTAGTACAGAAAACAYCTTCAGTTTCTGTGTGACTGATTTTTGCAGCAAGCAGCCTGAGTGTGACCTTATTGAAGTGCAGGGAAATAATGCTTTGAAATTCAATACATGGCTCTTAGTTATGGATGAAAGCATGGGCATGAATAAGAAAAGGGAGGAAATGTGGTGTTTAAAATCTAAATTTTAGTTTTTATTAATACCAGTCTTGATCTTCCATGTTATTTTTTGCAACCTTGGGGCAAGCAAKGTTGCCTAAATTGTTTCATCACAAAACAAAGTAACTTGTGTCTCTAATTACTGCATAAGCTCCTAGCTTTAAAATGAAAGGATGYGCTATAACAGACTGTGTCTCTTCTCCTTAATTTTTCAAAATAAGGTATTTTAAAATAACTGTCCCARTTCTTCCAATTATTTTCAAGTGCCCTTCCACCAACATTTTGAAAGTATAGTCTGTGTCTTGCCAACAGCAGCTGCAGCCTTTCTTATGTTTGCCAGCCAGCCTCGGTAAAATTCAACAAAGTAACTGAGGCTGAATTTCAAGTTGTCAAATGAAAAGCATATTTTAGAAAGTAACATTTAGAGTCTAACTAAATTAATGTTTGACCACATRGAAAAAAAAAWWTTTGGATATATTACTTCTTTTGCCTCTACATTGTGGGTTTTGGGGGGTTTTCACTTTACAAATGCCAAGAGTAGTCTTCACTGTTTCCCGCTTTGCTAATCAAATTGTTGCTTGCTGGACTTACAAAATATGTTTCACTTTAGTATAAAGAAGAGCACCAGTGAGTCAGTGAGAATTGAAAAGTCTGTGAGTGAGCCTTCTTTCAGAAGGATAGGCAGTGGAAGTAATTGTGTTGTCATATGTTCATGCTAAAAATAAAGCCCTATTTAAACTTTATGTCATTTGCCAGAGTGAATTATATTATYTTCCTATGCTTGTTCATACACCAAGGCCAGATTTCCTGTTTCAATGATTAGATGTCCTTTAATGCGTTGTGAGGATGAATTAAGCATGCTAATTGTTTTTCTGTAGCCATCATGATATATTGATAAGAGACAACAAACAAATTCCCAATGCCTGTTAAAGCAGATGATATATTCTTCCATCCAGTAATTGCATTATTGCTGTTGCCARTAGGAAAAAGATGAATATTTGTCCTCTACTAGTGGAGCTGTGCCAAAGGTTGTTTTGTTTAATTAGGATATTCCTGGGTTGGGGTGAGATACAACACAAATTTGAAGCACTCAACCTTGGAATATTCTTGGTTTCCAAGAAGTTGATAGCAAGAGTAGAATGTGATCCTGTGCTTAATAAACATCTTATGGAATAACAGAAGGATGTAAGAAAAAGAAACACACAGAATTCTCCTGGGTTTGCCACTGTTAGGTTTATATGTAAGAGCACAAAAGGCACCTAGTGTGACTCTCAGGGTATTCTGTGCAGGGCCAGGAGTTGGACTCGATGATCCTGATGGGTCCCTTCCAACTCAGCATATTCTGTGATTCTACATAAATTAGAAATTACTTTCATAAGACATAGTTTCTTGCCTAAATAACATGCAGCTCTTGTAAAATGTACATCAATTAAAAAATAGCATACATACATATGTACATAAAGCTATAATAACCCTTGTAATTATGGCAGAGTGAGTGGCTGACTAGTTTGTAGGCTAAATAAGTGCTAATTAGCTTTGATGGACCTGACTTCCTGATTTCAAATGGCTTTTCATTAGTATTCACTTTTTATGTGGTAAGTTCTGGTAAGTCTTTCATAATTTCATAATTTTCATTTTTCATATACCTTCATTTATTGTTRTCTAATGCTGCAGTAGAGCGTAGAAACTGTTTTCAATTGAGACTCTGCTTTGTTCATGGTAAAACCAACAAGAAGTAAGAGTAATTTTAAATATATTATATAGTACAATACATGTTTCTTAAAACCTGTGTGATTATTAGTGTGTTTTGTTATACACTTRGCTAACTATGAAACTGAACATTTGTAATGTGTATTGAACCTGACTGGCCTGCTCTTTATTTCGTGCAGGAATTTAAATGGACAGTCAATTCAGAACAGTGAATTCTTTATCTTATATGTARTTAAAAAATGTAAAATTACTATAATGTGAGGATCTTCTATGATATGAAACAAAGAGAGAAAGTTATTTCTTTAGTGGCTCCTTAGACWTCATTACTGACCTTTTGAAATAGTTAGTGATTTTCATTAAAAAAGAGCGTTTGGATCACAGACAAAAACATTGCATCCAGGCCAGTGAGTTAAGATGTGATAGATGTTTACAGTCCATCATGAATTTTTCTACTTCTAGCAGATCACATAAGTGAGAAAYGGTGGAGAAGGCTTATTCTCAAATGGCACAGTAGAGCAGTCTTTGGATCTGTGGGACTGCTAGAAACCAAATTACTTAAAGGACAGTAGTTTATCTCTTATGGTGAAGTAGAGGGATGCAAAGGCATTGGGACAGCTGTACTTCTGCTCTGCTCCTCTCTTTCCATGTGGTGTAATAATGATGGTTGGCACTGCGTGTGAAAGTTAGTCAAAATAGGATAATATATTACAGACACAGATGCTGAGAGGGCTGCTATCTTTGTGTTTGTRCGTCTTTGTGAATATGTAATTTTTWAGTAAGTATTTAGAAACTTAATTAGATAAGTGAAAAATACTGTGCATGCATACTGAAATCCTTAAATGTTTTAATTTTTATTTTTCTACACAAAGTTGATTTGGCTCTTGAAGCATTCATCTGAGTTATTCAGCAGGTCAAATTGGATGAAACTCAGTATGACTTAACTCTGAAGCAAGAAAACTTAAATTGAGCTGACCATGAGTAAGATCCCTTATCTGAACAACWGTCGATATTTCATATCTCATGCTCAAGTAATCCTATTAATAGACATTTCTGACTGCTAATGAATTTTTAAAAAGAAATTAATCCAGGCCAAAAGCCAGTTGTAGGAAGGCTTCTTCAYAGGAGTTTCAATTTTCTCTTGTAATTGTTTCAAGTATGCCATTGCCTTGACATTTCAAAATCCCTTTCAGCCTGTATTTTAAGATTTTTTTTTCTGAAGAATGAAAATTAATGGCCATCTGCTTGTGCATATGAAATATAGATTGGGAAACACCATTAACTGTTTCTAGTCTTTCTTGTTAATGTTGTTTGCAACACACACGTGGCTATGTGAAATGCCTACTGAAATGCTTTATATTTAAAGGTTTATTATACTCTTACAATACCAGCATTCTGAACATGTATTATTCTTGAATTAGTTCTGTCATAATGGGAGATGTCAGTGACTAAACAAAGCAGAACCTTCTGAACATCAAGGAAGTTGTTTTCATTAGGAATGTTCAGATTTCCTTTCAGGCTTCATAGTGACAATCACCTCTTTTGCTGTTTTTTTTAATTAATGCACATTCAGTAATAGCCCTTATTAATAACATCACAACATTTCATGCAAGTAGCAACCTATGACATTATAGAATTGAYACACACACACACACACACACACACACATGCACAAAATGAAAGAGTGTAACCAGAACATAGTTTTGAAAAATAGACAGTGACGCCAGTATGCAAACTGAGTGTATTCATAGAGGGACTAATTTGTTGACATACTTGTATGAATTTTCTCTATAAAGGCAGCTTGTCACTTCCTGTAGACCTTTGCTCTGTCCAGGCAGCAGAGAGCAGGTGCTCAGCTGACTTAGAGCAGTATTTCAGTGGCTTATAAATGGAGCTGTCTCAAGTTAAAAGAATCATTTATTGCAAAATTTTAGCTTCTGTATCCTATCATAAAGCATCTCTTTGATCTCATTTTATGATGGTAGATGAACTATTCTATTGGAAGACCTTTTCATACAGGAACAAGTTAATTAAAGATTGAATTAATCTTACTGTAACTTCAGTGACCCTACTGAGAGCTGTCTTGGACCTTTTACTTGAAAAAGGATTTAACAACCTTTCTTTTCAAAGTTTGGTTTTCATAGGGCAGCTGATGCTACAGTGCCTTTTGAGCTGGGAAACTAAACTTCTTGTAGAAAGTAAAAGTAACTTACAGACAAACCTGGATTCTTTCTCTGTTAATACTTTTGCCCATCAGATGAAAGCAGTATACTTTGATATGTTTTTAGTGAATTTTCTCCTCCACAGAGTCCCTGAAAATTCAGAGGTGCTCTCTGTACAAGCTTGCTGCAAAGTATTATTCTGTTTACTTTAGTTTTCTGACTAGTAAAATTGAAGCATACATGCTTCATGAAACTTTATAAAGGGGTTGCTGAAATGTATCGAGTAAATTTGTATCTTTCAAAACAGATTATACTTGGTTGAATCAACAGAATAGGAACATATATTGATAAGCAAGATATGAGTCAAGATTTTTTATTACATTACATTAGTTATAGTTCTTGATAGGTCTAATATTTAAAACTTAGATACTACCATGGAATTTTTTAAAATTTTATCTGAAGAACAGAACTAAATGTTTTTTAGTAAGTGTGCTGTTGTGTATTTGTCGGTATGTTTTTGTCCTTTTTTTTGTTTCCTACCTAAACATCTGACACTTTTATAGTTAACAGACTGGAGAARAAAATGAACATACTTGCTTAGAGTTTACTTGCAAAACAGGTGTTCAGATAATTTTCTTAAAGTTCAGAGACAAGCTGCAGACAAACAGCATTCTCTGACACTCCTTAAAATGTTTTTGAAGTGACCAATATTCCTTGTTCCTGATACTTTTTCTTAGTGTATTTGGAGGCTGAACTTTCTCCCTGGTTGAGTAGTGAAATTTTACACCAGGATAAGGCCTTTGAAAGACATTCTTTTCTCAGTGCTTGAATGAGTACATCTCACAACTGACACARATACTGCTTAGGGTTGCAGTTCTCTCTAGTCACTGGAGAGCTACTTGGTTTGTTCTACTTATTAAATACTTGAGAAGGAGAAGAAAAGAACTGCCCTAAGCTTCCTCATGTATAAGGACTGCTTGAATTTAGGATATTGCCACGTCAACCTAGTGCCTTTGTCTTGTTTTAAGATCCAACTCAACTGCTTCTAAGGAATAGAAGTYCTGTCATGTCACTTTTATGAGGTGTAGAGAAATAATTGGCTAATGTAACTTCATATCTTAATAATTTGCATAATTCAGGGAACCAGTCATATGCTCACAAATGCTTCTACAATCTGATTCATATTGCAGCTCAATGAACTGATTTAGTCATACTTAGTAAATGCTTTACTGAGAGTAAAGCGTTTACAAGAATTAAGCTTCTTATTATATATGCTGAAGGGTATGGAATTAGCTTTTCAAGACAACTATATAGGTGGATTCTGAAACTTTCCAGTCTTATCTGTTTTCTATAGTGCTGAGCTACCACTGCAGCTGCTTTATATGCAGACAATCACACTGGTAAGCCTCATTATAYGGCTTGCTAACACAGGCTTTTGTCTGGCATTGTGACTGCATATTATCAGTTCAGCATTTAATTATGCTGTAGCAGTAAAATAAAGTTGACTCACATGAGACACCATCAAGAAGAGCTAGGTAAAAAAATACACCTCTTTGCATTAGGCACCAGCAACCCTGGATATTTTGGGGTACTGGAATAGTGTAGATAGGTCTGATATGAGAGAAAATTGTTGTGATGGAAATACATGTTATGACAGCAGTGTGATCTGTTCCTTAATTTTCATTATAAAATACCTGCATTTTTAATATTCCTCTAAATGGCATTTACTACATGCTACAAGATGTATATTCATCATAATTGAGCTTTAATTTAAAATACTGTGTTTGAAAGGAAAGAAAATTAAATAGTATATATTCTAAGCAATAACAGTAGCAGTGTTATGACAACATGCAGCATTTATACAGTAAGAGTATATTGCTTAGAATTTTTTAAAACACCTTTTTTAGATGTTTTGAATAGTAGAATAGAAAATCTGTGTATATTTACAAGCTATATTACCACTTACATAGGTTAATATACTGTACTGGATATTATGGTTTACTAGTAATATATTACTATCTTGTACTATTAGTAGCTTACAATGTCATGAATTTTCAGTAAATGTATGAAGATTTGCATTTTCGGTCATTTGGGGTTTTGGGGTTTTTTTTTCCATACTTCTTCCAGTAGCAGACTTCAGAAGTGTCAGGACAGGTATTGATTATCTTTCAGAAACCCCACATGCCGTTTATTTGACAGTGGTTTTTGTGACTTTTGTTGGCATTCAGTCCATTGTTACTTCCTGGTGGGGAAAATCATACATCCAGCCATCAATCCACATTTAATCAGCTGATTATTTTCCAAAAGTGGGGTATTTTTGAGGATTTTTTTCCAGGTTTATGTTGTGCTCAGGCAGTGAAGCACCATTTGAAATCTACTGGATCTGTGTTTCAGTGTTCATCTCTCAAAGTAGTTTTCACATAGATTAATGGTGAAGACTACTTGGTGAATCTGAATCTTCTCAACTGGCAGTTAATGGTTGTATGCCATTAATAAATGCATGTCACAGTATTTGTATTAAGTCATACCTTACTAGAGCCACTCTTTCTCAGGCTTCCAATAGGGCAGATGTTCCTTCATTATCCGCAGTTACATTAACACTACTGCTTAATGATTTTTACATGTTTGATAGAGGCGTAATGGAGATGAATGAAATACACATGGAAATCACCTTCCTTTTCTTCCTGAAGTTAATTTCTATGTTAGCTATTGGAACCAAACTTCCAAGTTTGTTAAAAACTTCAAATGGCCTTAGAAATTGAATTTTCTTCTTAGGAAACAGCTCTACTTTTATACATTCTCTTAAATCTTACAGCACTTTGTTGTTGATGATGTGGACCTATATGAACTGCCCTAGTGTCAGGAAAGTATGATAATAATTTTTGAAAGTTAGCTGTTGATTTTGAATTGGGTTTTCTCAATTTTTTTGTTGTATTTTAGCTGTTATTTTGCTTTGCTGATTGCATGGTGCAGCAGTGAGATTTTCCAGAATAATTGTCCTCAGCTTATCTCCCKCATTGTTGCACTGTAAGCATTGTCTCTGGGAGTTGTGGTGGTAGGTGGTTTGAGTACACATAAGGGGAGTCATCTCTTCTCCATCATACAGTTGTGTGTAACAGAASTTGAATTTCATGAGTAGTAAATGTGTGGGTGAAATAAGTCGGTTTATACAAAATTTTGTTTGCTGATAGGCTTCTGGTTTAATCTTCCAGTTCTGCAGTATGCTTGTCCCCTTGGAGATTGTAAAATGTCATCCGTAATTTTCACTGACTGACAATATTTAGTGGGTGGCTGTATCACCAGCTTAAGATGTCACTTACATTTAGTTGCATTTCTGTCTTGTCTTTGCCTCAGTGTCATAATACAATTAAGGAATAATGTTGAATTTTTARGCATGTGTTAATTATTGATAATGTCTACCTTAGCTTGCCCAGATGTTATGAACAGAGCACATCCAAATAAAATACTTTGCCTCACTGCAATGATTCCATGACTTCTAAAAATTTATTGATTAAATTCTTGGTTTGATGTAGCCATCTATATTCTGTAGCAGAGCACCAATGTTTGGCTACTGAAGCAAACCATTTGCTTATTACTCTGTTTTCCTGTGACTAGCAAAGTCTGTTAGCACTAGGCCTGCTGTGAAACAAGTTTGATTTTACAAAAATTGCAAACTTTTGCACAGACACTGTCTCCAATTTGGTAACAATAATAGCTGGGAGTACCATAATGAGCAAAGCTGGTAATTTGCAAAGCAGTCAAATATTGTGGTTTTTTTTTCTAGACTTGCTTGGAAGCAGAAGCCCGTCACTTCCCCTGTGCTGCGCAGGGACAGTACCTAGCAGGAGCACCATCTCCTTATGTCAAGCATGGCTTGGTTCGCTCCAGTCCCGTGAAACACACCAGAAAGTGTGCTCGGAATACATGCAAGGCATGCAGGGCGCACTCACACCCATGTGTCTGCACATCAAGGTCACCAAGCAAACGCTCTGGAGTTCCGTGCCGTCATTCTGCTGATAATTTTGTGTGCATTCGTTGTTCCCGGAGGTGTCCCAGAATGGGTGGCGGGGATCTTCTAGAGAAACATGCTGAATGCTTTACTAGGAACCGAAAACCTTTTATTCCACGCACCTTAATATCGGATGCTAAACCTTACCTGTCAGAGTACAGGTTTTACAGTCCTGCTCGAAGGAAGAAGAAAATACGCCGCAAGCAGCGTGTGGAAGCTGAAACACAGACTGATATGATCAGGTACAGAGATTGAAACTTCATCTTGAAACTCTGCAATTTAGATGTTATTGTTAACAGTATCTTTATAAAAGAAACATGTTTTGCTCTCATTATATTTGTATAAATAGAGTAATTATTCTGAAGTTATTCTAGATATGCCTTAGCAAAAGCTAGAATAGAATATGATTTTCCTTTTTTTCACTGGTATGTGTTGTCTTSTTTATGGAACAACTGCTTTAATCCATATATGTTGGATTTGAAGTGACACTAAATTCAGACTGTGGCATCTCACATCTGCTGGTGATAATCATTCCCTCTCTCTTCCCTATGCTCTCTCTGGTGTATAGTTGTGTTTTCTGTCTTGAAAAAAATTACCCAATATAAGCATGTAAGTAGTTCCCCACTGTTGCCCTTGTAGTSTCATACTTTCCAGTTTCATAATTAATGCATCATGCAAAGATCCTTTTCTAACTCCTGAATGCAGCTCTTCATTGATTTTTTTATCACTTGAATTTAAATACCTTCAGACAYAGCCTATATAAAATACTTTAAACAAAATTAGTGTCCTTCTCCTGTATTGAATTTCTTAGCAAATTGAACAATTCTGATTTAGTTTTGCTTTTACTACCTGATAAAGAGAAATCTTTTCCCTTTTGTGTCCTCAATGCCTACATGTCTAATTCTGGTTTTGTCATAGAACAAATGAGGAATTTGTCATAGAACAAAACTAGGAATTTCCTGAGACTGGAATTATGATAGCTTTGGTTCCATATTGCAGTTGTTGATTTTCAGGCTGTGGTTTGTTTATTTTCTTGGTGCACTTTTAATTCTTATTTTTGAACAATTATTTTGGATAACTTAGTTATACTCTGTTAGTATGCTGCTAAATAATGGATTTGGATCATCTTTGGATAACTACTATCATTCTTCAAAACAAACTATAACTTGGTTTTATTATGTGAACCTAAGTCTGGCAGAAATTTTCTGAACTGTTCAGTACTATGTTTTGTTTAGATCAATGGGAAATTTCCACAGTGGCCCTGGTATTCTCATCCGGCATTTATGAAAGTAGTCAACTTGGAAATCTCATACTTCTCTCAATTTTGTAGCTTTCCGTCTTCAGACCAAGTTTACACGAGCAAAGCTACGGCTGAACCGCAGAAGATCCCACCAAAGACCACACCAAAGACCACACCAAAGACCACACCAAAGATCACACCAAAGGTAATAAGACACGTGTCAGTCATCTGGGTGCTCTTCCTGCAGCCATCACCATCACTCTTGAGTGTACACTTCATCACTGCCACAACACTGAATAGCTGATTTAGATTTTCTTCTCTCTATTGACATGCCACAAACTAGTTCCATAAAGGAGAGTTTCAGAACATTGAGTGGAAACAGTAGGAAAAAAATACTGAGGCACATGAAGATATCTCTTTCATATTTTCTTTGTTTCTATAAATGCACCATCAGATATCTTCTAAGGTCATAGATAATTAGTACATGACTTTTCAGCAGAAGAAGGTGTCCCTTTTTTCTGTTTATCTAGAGAGTCTCAGAAAAGACATAAAATTTCTAGGGCTGCTTAATCACTGAGAGATCTTCGATTCATTTTAATGATAAAATTTGTTGTTTATTTTCACTGATAATAAAGACTTTTATCTCTTGTGTTATAGGCTGAAGATAGAAGACATATTCTGGATGAACGTGAGAGAGCAATAGATAAATCTGAACCCTCCATTCTAAGGTGTCTGAAAGGAATATTTGAAATCTTCCTTCTTTCTATACAGCCTGTCCTAAGGCCACAAATCTTCACCACCATTTSTCTTTATAAGTCTCTTCTCACAGGACTTTCATTAAGTTGGTTGGTTTTTTTTTTACATCAATGTCCTTTCCCAGCTGCAAAATTCATTATTTTCTTGTGATAAGTTCCACTGAGAAGCCAATTAAGAAAGAGAGATCTGAAATATATGATTATTTTTGTCAGAAGTGTGAGTAATGACACATTAATACTGTTGTTAGTTCTGAGCTCACAACCTATATCGTACTACACAGCATTGGTATTCCAATGGTACTTCCCCTTAATGTCTCCAGGCATCCAGTCTTATRAATCTATGATATGTGGGAATTGTAGATCAGGAGCATTTCCCTCATCTTTTTCTGAAAATCTAATACTGTGATTGCTAYAAGACCAGTGTTGGAAATCAGGCCAGAACCCAAGGGCTCTGAGCTGATTCTCCTCATTGCTGACCTGAGTGTCACACGTGATCACTGATTCACTCTCTGACCTTTTCATACAAATGCATTTTTATCTGAGGAAAAAAATGTACTCTGAGTTTAAAAAGCACTCTTATGGATAGCAGAGATTGAATAGCATCTGAAGCAGCCCCGTGGTCTTCTGAAAACTGCATCTAGTGAAGTGTTATAATACTCTTGAATCATAATTTTTCAGGTTTCAGTACAAGCAGGGGATTTTGTTACTGGAGCAGGATTTAGGGGTGTTCTGGTGGGTTTTTTTGCAAAAGGAAATGTTATTATGGCACACCATGGCTTCAGAAGAAAATTATATGCAAAGTAGTATAAAAAGAGTTTAGAATGTTGTTCTTTTTCTTGTGATTTTCTGGTCAGAGACACATCACGTCCCCAGAAGAGTTCACCAAGGAGGAGTCCTGAGGATGAGTAAGTATGCTTAAACCATTTTCTGCTCATTTACAACATGAAACTAGAAAACTTTCTTCCAAACTGATGAACTTGAAACATACAAAACTTAAAAACTTTTCTGTGAACCTAAAAATTAAGAAAATTTATTATAACTTCAGAAGAGTATACAGTCCCTGTAAGTTTTCATTTCTTTTTAGGTCTGTAATCTCTGAAGCAAGTATTGGCAAATGAACGACCAAATTGAGGGGCATTCTTACCACACTTCTGCACTGAAATTTGATGAGAATTAGGCACTGAAATTTGATAAGAATTAGAAGAGTTTTGAGTGATGTTCAGAAACACTACTAATGCTTCATCCAGTGGCCCTGGCAAAGACATTTAATTCTTTGTGCTTTAATACAGGCTTGCCTTTGCCTAACTTTAGGCATATTACAGAGGTCTCAAATACCAGTGATAGATAGTTTCCTTGACTATAGAGGGAGCCAAAATTATAATCTTTAGGCACGATGACAAATTTTCTATAATGGCAGTCATGCAAAATGTATTCCGTTTTTTATTTTCTGTTTATTAAAACTGGAGCATGACTCAAAAGAGTTTGATTGGATAATTTGGGAGATTTAGAAAGACGTTACAAAAGGAGAAACCRCACTGAAGTATTTTCTTTTGGGGTGTTCTTTCTTCTTGCCTTTCAAGCAGAATTCCAAACTTTTGGGGGGTGTCCGATTTAGAGTAATTGGCATGAACAGGTCTTTTAGAAGTGWTAAAGTAAAGATAAGAGGTAAAAGTCATATCTCACACAAGATTTTGTACAACATGAAGGAGATGTTGAAATAAGTTAATGCTGCCAAGTAAGCAATTAAATTCTTTCCAGCTTCCACTTGGGACTAGCAGTTTTCAGCTGCAGTCAGATTCTCTAGAAGCTCCTTTGGAAGCCTTTACCCTGAGCATCAAATTGCAATTGTACACTTTCTTCCCARTTAGCTCCCCTTTCTTCTGGAGTCAAAGCAGATTCTGAATGCTTTTCAGGATTCTCTGATTCCCTCACYTGGGATCTCTATGCTAATTTATACCACAGCAGAAGGTTTGCATAAAGACATAACACCATGGCCACCTTTCTAACAGTCTCATATTTTGCAGTTCTGTATTATTGTCTAGATTGAACAAAAAGCTTAGTTTGGCCTGATAGACTTGATGAAAACAGCTGCTGATACAAGAACTATAAAATCTTSTCAATGGGCTTTCCCAGGAAGGTGATTAGACTTACTGCAATGTGTCATATGTGTTTCTACAGTAAAGCATTTAATATTGGGTTTCTTTTCTCCCTGCAGAGAAGAGGAACTTCTATATTTAACTTTCATTGAAGATGTAACAAATGAAATTCTTAGCCTTGGGTTATTTTCTAACAGGTAAGTTACAGTTGTTTTCAGTTTTGTGATGCTGGGTCAGAACACATGGACTCCATAAGAAAGGGAAATAGTGATTAGTAATCATTTCTTTATACACACATATACACAGTTAGGCCTGGTTTTGTTTTGATTACTCTTCTTTTTTGGTTTATGTAAGAAAGGGGAATTAGGAAATACTCATGGGTTATAGAATTAAATCTGCTGCTGTGTACCATGAGTTAAAAGCTTCTGTTGGAAAGTGACCTGGAACCCTAGGTGGAATAATGCTAAGAAAAAAAACATTTTACTCTGCAACATTTGCTAAATAAACCRAGTTGCTAATCTTTCTCACAACAGGTCCTTTGTCTCCCTTCTGTCCTTCCTGCTGTAGTATAAATTAAGTCTTCAACATGGGTTGATAGGGTTATGTTTTCTTTCATATAAAAGAAACACCAGCTGCTAAATCAAATTTCTTTTTCAATACCAGACCGATTTCTTTCTAATAAAGAACTCTCAATTTATGCAAAGAAAACATTGCAGTATTTTTATGTATATATACAGAATATATATACACACTCTTAACCCATTTTTGTAATTCCACATTCAAGGCAGTCTAATTTCATAATATTCTGATCTTGCTCTGGATTGATAATGTTCCTAGCTGCTTTTCCTATTCTGTGCACTCTTTATTTTTTTCTTCTTATGTCAAGGCTTTCAATGAGAATGCTAAGTACACCAAGTAAAAAAATTAATCTTTAAGAAATTTTGAGAGCATTCTCCCTAAGGCTCCTTTTTACAGTAATAATGTCTTCTATTAGAACCCTTCTTGCACTTCTTTTTRAAAATAGTTTTTCATATAAGCTAGGTTAAAGTCCCTTGAATTTCTGGAATTCTGTTCCAGTGACTGTGTACTTGAGTTCATTTTTTTTTTTATTTGTAGGATTCTGGATCAAGTGTTTGAATGGCATATAGAAGAAAATAAGGACCGCTTGGATGAGGTATGTGCTGTCCTTGTAATAGTCTCTCTCTGTATATGATTTAGGTGAAGTTTCCAAAGAGCAGGGCAAATGCACTGGTATGTTGAGGGTAAAGGCAACCAGAATGTTCTGTGGGGAGCTCTCCATCAATGAAATTTGCAGACTCATGGATCATGGCAGATCAGGAGTCACAGGTAGAGTAACAAAAAAGGGACAACAGTCAATTCTGTTTGGTGACACTTAGTGTTTACTTTAGTCACTTGATTGCAAGTAGACTCCCTTCTGTCAGAGTTAAGCCCTGAATCTGAGCAGTGCTCAGGTGCCATAGGGCTGGAGAAGTGTCACCCCTTTCCTCCTTCACCCATTAGGCAAAAATGCGCCAGATGTTGGATGCGCTGAAAGCAGACCTCGGCTGTGGCCCGGACAGCGAGATAGAGTTCATCGGGGCTGGYGACGGAGGCCTGGACTCACTGGATTTGCCGGAGCTCGAGATGAAAGATCTCGAGTTTAGCAGTAAAGGTCACAGGCTGAAGAAGGCTACAAAAAGTAAAGAAGGCTTTGATGCTATGGATTTGCCATTAAAGAAACCAAGCAAATGTGTATCACTGTCAGGCAGCGAAAGGTCAGGGGATTCACGTAGCAGGGAGCGCTTTCCACAGTACACCACAGAAGCAATGGATGCTGGGACAGAGTCTGATTCCTGTGGTGTGGAATTTGAAGAACGCCCAGACATTTCACCCACATGTGAGATAGCTTCAGGCTTGGCTACTTGTGGCTATAAGGTACTTGAACCTGAGGAAAGCTTTTCCATACAAGAGGGAGCTTCAGACTTGGCTACTTGTGACAGTGATTTGGAAGTCAGTAAGGAACTTGAACCTGAGGAAAGCTGTTCCACACATGAGGAAGCTTCAGAWTTGGCTGCCTGTGACAGTGATTTGGAAGTCAGTAAGGAGCTTGATGAACCTGAGGAAAGCTGTTCCATACATGAGGAAGCTTCAGACTTGGCTGCCTGTGACAGTGATTTGGAAGTCAGTAAGGAGCTTGAGGAAAGCTGTTCCACACGTGAGGCAGCTTCAGATGTGGTTGCTTGTGACAGCGATTTGGAAGTCAGTAAGGAACTTGAAGAAAGTTGTTCCACACGTGAGGCAGCTTCAGACTTGGCTGCTTGTGACAGCGATTTGGAAGTCAATAAGGATCTTGAGGATCTTGAGGAAAGCTTTGCAGAGGACCTTCACATTTCACATAGCTATTGATAATAGTAACCAAAACTTAGCTGTTAAACAAGGATAGAGCTCCTTCTGTGGTGAACTGCCATTTATCAGCTAGTAGTAAATTGTAGGTTTGTTTTCAGTTATTTCTGTTTTAAATACTGCTAAGATCTCTCTAGCAGGATATGATTAATTGGGCATAATCCCTGTGTAAATTAGACCTTAAAGGATAACAGGTCAGTTATCAGAAGAACTTTGTATATTTTACCTGTAAGTTTATAACTCGAAACAAGCTTGAGAATATTAAAATTAGATTTATATTTTTAAAAGCTGTAGTAGTAAGTTATGAAATACTTGTTTTTTAAAATAAATTAATTAATAGTGCAGTTGTGGTCCTGCTATAAAGATCTGAGATTTTGGAGTCTATAAGAATTCTACAATTTAACACTGATTTAGCATCAATGTCCTCTTCCAAAATAGACAAACTCCATGCAGTATACTATGTTGCCACTCACAGAAGCCCGCAAATGAAAAATCAAATTATTTCACAAGAAGAAAACCCAACTTTTAACAGATCTATGTAGATTAATGACTGTAGTTTTCTGTTTTCAGTTAACTGAATGACACCGGTAAGTTTAATTTCTGGCTCTGATGACAACTCTGGCATAGCATTCTGCATCAGGCTTTGGTTTTGGAAAAGGATTGAGTTGTTTACTTTTGGATGAGTAGAATTGTCTAGTAGAAGGCACATCAGGCACCTAGTACAGCAAATAGAGTAGAGGTGGTATATTTTCTGGTTAAAGTTTAAATTGAAGTTAGCACATGCATTGCATAAAATCAACCCAAATTTCATTGCTTTAGTAGAGTAAAACTATTGCCTGACATTGCCATTACTGCAGAATGAGCTCAACGGATTCTGAGGAAATGCTGGCAAGTTATATTGTCTTGCTGTAGCTCAGGAACTGGGAGAAGTCAGGAACTGGATAAAGCTTGTCCCCTAATATCTCCTAGGGTCAGTTTTAACCTTCTTCCTCCAAGGTCAAGCCCAAGTTGTACCAATTCATACATAACAACTGCCAGCAACTGCCTCCCCTGTACCTTGTGASCATCGACCAAAGACTAATTCCATGGCCCAGATTGCAGCTTCAGGTAGCTTCTATAGACACAGACCACTGCTTCACTTGTGACACATAAACTTTCAGACAAAAAAAAAGAAATGTCATAAAACAACTAGAGGAAGCCAGTCAAGCGAAATTTATCTGGTCTGGCACAATCACAGCACTGAGTACAGAATATTATTCACAAAGAAAGCAACAGGCACTTTCCTGGGTGCCTTGTCCACAATAATAAATTGCACTTGTTGCAATGACARCAGAGTTTCTTCTAGCCATGTACATGTGGCTGGGCAGATGAGAATCAGCCTTTCATCTGCCACACTCAGCTGGCTGCCTTGTAAATCTGGCCTGCAGCGTGAGTGCTCTGGCTCACTGAAAAGCAGGTGAGATAATCAGAGGACTTTTCCATCCCCCCCATTAGAGCCTGTCTTGTTGGAAAGATGTGGCCACACAGCTGAGTCATTACAGTGCAGGGAGGGTTTGTCCTCAATCACAAGTGATCACAGCCCTTCTCCATCCACAAGGAAACTCCCTCTCTCTTGGTTACCCCAGAGAGCTGAAGGGAAGGGGATGCCGTAGGAAACGTGTTGTTCTGTTACGAACAATTCTGATACAGAGGGAATAGTTAGATGTATCCAAGTATAAAGTCTCTTTGCTCCTCAGACAGAACTTCACCCACTCTTGTGGCCCTCCATTCYGAGTTCTCCATTCTTGGTCAACAATGGGAATTTAACAGGGGGTTTTCCTACCTATCTGTATTTGTGACTTGTGCATCATTAAAAAAGGTCACTCAGCAAACTTCGGCTTCTTGTCAACATGAGTCTGATTAAAGATTAATAAGAAAATCACATTCAAATTCTGTAAATGAAAAAAATACTGCAAGAAGACATCACAGCAGTGAACTTCACAGAAAGGCACAAGTAATGACATACTCATTTCCTGTGATATGAATAACACAAAATAAATAAAAACAGTTCCTTGACCATATTTCCTGTTCATGAGCTGTCACAACTTCAATGACTTTGTTTTCTGTGTAGATGCAACTTAAAAGAGGAAATAAATTGATTAAAACAGACCTTTCTCAAACAAAGTACCTGTCTGCCTGAACTATAAGTGTGAGCATTTATTGGACCCCCAGTGAAATGTCTGGTAAAGAACCAGAGAATCACACACCCCAGTATCCAGCAGCTGGAGTAATCAGTCGGCTCCACAGAACTGGTTTCTCATTGTACAGCCACTTCTATCMGATAGTGGGAAAAAAACATTCTAGATAAGTGTAACCTATGTAAAGTCATTTTAYCTGCAGACCCATAAGCAAATTCAGGCTGCCTTGGGCTTAAGATTTTCTCTCTTCTATTCATATTTACTTTAAGGTGGTGCTTAAGACGTAAGTTGTTTAAGGACTTTGATATGCAAGCCTGACCCACATCACTGATATGATTAAGCAACACTGCAAGCTTTGGGTTTTTTTCTGARGGTTTTGGGTGGTTGGGTTTGGATTTTTTTACCTCATGACCTTTTACTTTGTGTTATACCTGAAGCTTGGCACAAGCAGTAGCAGAACAAGGCAGTCACACACCATTACAAATTAACAAACAGGCATGCATGGCAGCTGGGATCTGCAACGTAAAGACTTTTTTCTGCCCAGGTTCACGTAGGCATTGACCTACGTGATGCATCATAACATCAATGTTTTCTTCAAATGTACAAAAGCCTGCTACTGTTGCTTTGCTCTGTAACAAAAAGGCCTTTTATCTTTAAAGCTCCAGTTTTGTCATCACTGCTCTTTTTTTCAAGGGTAGGATTCTGTTTATTTACAAAGCATAGTGGGGCTTTTGGTCATTTGGAGTAAAGATCAATGGGATGGAAGAAAAAGGTGCTTGCATGACGTAGGGCTGACCAGAAAACCACAAACTTCAAGCAAACACCAAGCTACCATGTTATCTGTGATCCATCCAGTGTCTAAAAAGCTCCTACACAGTTTTCATAGAGAGACTTCAAGATCCTATTTCTCTGCATTTCTGTACACTTACATTGTTTATAGCTATGCAACAGTAGTTGCAAGAATGATTCAGCTCAACTGACAGTATTTCRTAATTCAAGTACAAATGGCTCCATCAGACAGTGGGAAAAAAGGGTTATTTTTTTTTCCTCAGCAATGACTTGTGCAATAATTATGAGTATGAGAACTAGAATATCATATAAAAAATTAAGCTCAGGAGTTCCACTTGCAGCCCCTAAAGCAGGCTCTTCCACGGTGGTAATAGCAGTTTCTAAAACAAGACATTCCAGTAATGCCCTTTAGTGCACAGCTACTGTTCCTGTGCCTGAGGCAGGAGAGGCAGCAGCCCCAGGCCACAGCCTGGGGTAAGAAGGAATAGGAATGGGAAATGAATGTTAAAGAGAACACTGGAAGAAAGGACTGGGAAAAGGAAAATTGTTACTTACTCCATCTTTTTGAAACTGTTGAGATCTATTATTGGGTAGAACACAGGTGCAGGGTAGAGATTTAGGYGCCACTTGTTAACATTGGCCTTCAAACATTTTAGGGCTCCCTCAGTTTTTCCACATCTGATTCCAAGTGCATGTATTTGAGACCTAAAAATTTATTCAAAATTCCAACATCCCACTTCAGTTTTTGGCCACCAGACAGGAGCATACATTGATAAGCAAGTGCGGGGCACTGAAGCTGTGTGATGTCTCTAAAGCCACCAGCCTTTTTTCTCTGGTACTTCCCAGGCACTTGACCTGCTGTTCTCAAGAGCTGACACCTGGTATGTACACAGGTTACAAGGAACGGAACAGCAACCAGTGGTTCTAACAAACATCATTTCTCAAACAACCAAAGCAGATACAAGCAGTCCAACCTTTCTGTTTCCTTTAGTGAAATCTTCATTCAGAAACAACCACCTCCAGTTTCTATTCCAAGTAGTAAAGCGAGTGGTACACAAACAGGTGAGCAGTAAATTAATCTGCCCCAGCATGGGTCACAGCCAGTCAAGGGATCCAGTTTCAAAACCTGTAGCAGGTCGTGGGCCAGCGGAAGCTGAGCATGTCACAGGGATAAAGCATCACTGAGAAGGGAAAAGAATCAGCATTTGCCACTGGCATGACAAATCATCAGCTGAGCTGTAGAGCACCCACAGCTCATCTCCATTTCAGCCACCTTAAAGCCTACAAGGACTCCAGGGTGTCAGGCAGTTGATGAGTAGCAACAAGAATTTAATTCAACTGAGGGGTACCAAAATTAAGGATGAAGTGTCTGCYGTGCACAGGACTCTGTTCTCTGTAGAAAGTCTCAAGAGTATCTGGGCTCCTAACAGTGTCTTTTAGCTCACCTGGTAGCTGATTCTAGCAAAGGGCAGGGGGGCTGCCTGGCAGCCAGGTGACAACACACAAAACTTCACTTGCATTCATCCTTGAAACCACAACACTGGCCTGCAAAAAGTGTGGGCCCTTAACCCAGCACCACATTTTGGGCTGGAGGAATGCCAGACATCCCACAGGGCACCAACACAGGCTGCTGCTGCTGCTGTGCCTTTGCTACTCTTGCAGATCACCCCTTCAGCACAAACAGGTTCCCCTGCCYTCCTTCCAGTCCTAACACATGGGCAATGAAATCGGAGCTGGAGAAGGGCAAGGAAAGGCTACATAAATGGAGTAGGGAAGCTTCTGAAACTTGAGAGAGAAACTTGAACAACGGCCTGAGCCTGGCAGGCCACAGAGCTGTGGTGTCCCATTCTCGTAGAGAACAGGCAGCGTGATCTGTAGCACGAGGTGCAGAGCTCTCTGCAGTTATCCCAAGAATTCAGCAAGCCCACAGGACTCCCCTTACAGTATCTGTGTTTCACAGCAGCCAGAGCCTGATTCCAGATGAGTAACACAACTATGAGATGACCCCAGCTCTTCCCAGTATCCATTTCTCTCACTCTAAGCATGCTCACATGCCAAAGAGGTGAAGCAACATGTCAAAGGCYGTCTGCTCTGCTGCCAACCTGAATTCCTTGCAGGACTTCAGAGGTGTAGCCTCTCCAATCAGAGGTGCAGCCCAGAGGCATTTGGCACCCTGCTTTTTCCCAATGTTTTACACCAGTGAGACCAGAGATGACACAGCCCAGGTCTGAGAGCTGGTTATGAGGCTTCCCAAAAGCTGGGCACAGCCATCTCAGATAACAGTGGATTGTAAGAGAAAGAAGAGCTTTGAAGCTTTCATCTTGGTTTTCCCTTCCCCTGACACAAGCTCACATGATGGCTCCTCCCTCCCACCCTGGAAGTTTTTAGCTTTACACAGGGAGTTCCAGCCTCTGTAAAGGCCCTGGCTATAGCTTTCCACAGAATGTGTTTTCTCCATGGCTCCTCCTCACTATTTGAACATCTTAGATTCTCTGTTCAGTTCRCCTTATGGGCTGTCAGATCTCCCCCAAAGATTCTTGGACACATCTCCCCAGCCAGCTTCTTGTTTGTCCCTTTGCTTGGGGGAGCAGCTGGCAGGTGAGAGCTCAGCCCTGCCATAAAGCACCCATGGTGCAGCCTCAGGCACGCTCCAGTCCCAAAGCTGAGGGGCTGCTGAGGGGCAGGATGGGCCAGCCCGTGGCCAGTTACCTTCCCAAGTATCAGAAAATTCAGCCTGTAGTATTTGTGCAGCATTTCCAGAATGTTCAGTACCCTCAGTTCTGCTTATTTGTCATTACTCAAACACCAGCACTGTGCAGTGGGACAAGGCTGACCTTTTGTCCTGAAAACAGGCTCAAATGGAGCATTTCCAGCTTGGTGGTGTAARTGCACTGAAAATCACCATGGCAGCCCTCCTAACACCATGGCACTAAGGACAAATTTGCTCTGACTGCAGGGAGTGCATACATTCAGCAATGCTCCTTATTTTGGATAGATAAGGGGTTTTTGCAGTGCATCAAAGCTACTGCATTTAATACCTGTCATTTGGATTCCTGTGGCTGCTCTGGTTGAGATRGCTATGGAACAACTCCTGCCCTTTRAAACSTAAGAGGAACTTGGGAAAAGTCCTTCCTCAACCATCTATATTTCTGGTTTTGGTGAGCAATTGCACTTTCTTCCTCCTTCCTAATTACATTTTGATCCTGACTACTAACAYAATGCAATGTTTCCCCTCTCCTTATGAAGCAGAAAAGAGATGTCCTCATTCAGACAGAAACCCATGAGTTCCATCGAGAGTCACAGTCCACCTACAGAAGGTGGTAGGGATCATTTTCAGGTAAGGCTGAAAGAGCCATCCAGCAGGACAGAGGAAGCAAAAATCACCTATGGGCACTCTGGAAGGAACAAGTCCATGGGCCCAGCGTCCCAGGAAATATCAAAYAGGATCAGCAGCTCTCTCAGACTGGCTGAGTCACTGTGTTGCATGTGATTTTCTCCTTAATGCTTTTGGAGCTGCTGTCAGGAACTGAATCAAATCCCAAGTCTTGATAGACCTGGTCCTTCTCTATAGAAAAATTCCTTTTTCAAGCCAGAAGTCATACCCAAGGAAAATCTGATCAGTTCTGCTGATTATCAGAGCTGGCCTACCTCTGCAAGAGACCTTGTGAGAGCTTTCAGGACCAAAAGACTAGGAAAATAAAAACAATGTGATATCTTTAGTGCGTCAGTGAAAGCGTGACTTAAACAGGAAAACTGAGGCAGAACAATTTCTAAAATTATAGCTTCAACTTAATTGCTTCTCCTAATTTAGGGAAGCAAACATTCAGCAAACAATGGAATTGAAAATGTGGGATACCTACAATAGTTCCTGGATGTCAGGAGACAACTCCTCAGACAGGCTGAGCATTGCTATTTCTGCAGGTTAAGAGGCAGTCCCTTCAGAATGAATGAATTTATTTCTTTACTGCTATGATGCAGAAAATTCAATAAACCCTGATAAATCTGATAAAACAGTTATCTTTCACATAATCAAACTAAAAACAATCTTCTAATTTCCTCAAGTCTTTTGCTAAAGATTTTGTTAATGGAAAGACATTCTTAGCATCAATCAGTTGTGAACAGCACAACGTGCAAGCAGAAGAAATCAGATCCACACATGCACATACCACCAAGCATGCAGTTCCTTCAATTCAGTGATTATCAGTATTACCCAGGCTTGACAAAGCCTTTCTTCATAGGTACTTAACACCAATGAAAATTCTTCATTTGCCTCTGGCTATGATAATTTGGGGACTGTTCGTGGAAGGATTTCATGTGCTTCTAAACTTACGTAAGGCACATGATTGTCATTTCAGAAATGGCTAATAATAACAACCTGAAACTCATCTGCAAGCTCTCCAAGTCTTTTCTGKTTGTTTTGTTTATTACAGCCAATATTTTAAATCCATAGAATAAGCAGGGCAGAAAATATGTGCTGTTTTTGGAATGGCTGATGTTTGGTTTAAGCTCAGTGTCTATCTGAAASATTGTCACACAAATGAGCTTGGGAGCTGTGATTGATAAGAAAAGCTYACATTCTTGTAAGCTCTATCCCTTCCAGCTCCCACATCTATGTTGTGCTGTTATGCAAGGGGAGAGCCCAAAAACCTGCATGTGCCCTGAAATCGGTGCTTTAGAAAAGCTCCCAAAGAATGCCAGGAGCTTTTGTTAGAAAATGTCCTCAACCCTGTGCACCTCTGAAAGATAAAGTTTTGTGACAAAACAGTCTCAGGCTCATCTTCATACATACATACATACATCCCAGCTTGTCTTCATACAGTCCAGCATTCAGGGGATGCTCATGAAAATATTGGAGAGGAAGAACACACATTTATTTCCTGCAATTTATCCCTCAAGGAAAAGGAATGGGTGTAAGAAAATCGCCCATCAGATCCTAAACAGAGCCAGTGTGTACATGCAAAACTCCCACTAGGTACCAAGCATTGCTGAGTTCCACATAACCTTCATCTATCCATACTCATTCCAGATTTAAACAGCCCTAACAGCTGAGCAAGACCTACTTTAGGGTAGCTCTTCAAACTTCTCTCATCAGCTCCTGTAAGTTTCTCATGTACCAAGTCCTGGAGCTCTTGCCCAAGTAAACCTCTGGCCAGATGTGCCAAATCCAAGCATCAAGTTGTTTCCCTGTCAGCCAACTCTGGCCACCAGAAGTCTCTATGCAGGATATTACAGTGGCTAGAAAATAACAGCTACAGTTCAAAACCATTTGGATTTAGAGGAAATTTAGATTTCTGAAGATAGCCTGAGATCTAAACCCAGTATAAAAATACTAAGTCTGATCAAAATTGCTAAATGCTTTACCATGCGCCTCAGGTCTCACGAAGTCCCATTTTCCTCTTCTGGTTTTGAATCCACATCTAATAAACACTGAACAATGCACAGGACATTGCCCAGGACTTGGGAACTGATCAGACAAGCACAGATGTATCTATGGCAGGTAACTGCCTTACCTTAAGCTGATTAATGCCTTCAAACTGAGTGCACCTAGAAGACAAAATTTTAGTTAAAAGTCTGATTGTTTCAGATGTAGTTACGTGGACAGTGCTTTAGACATTTAGCAAAGACAAGGGAAATGCAATTGTCCTGTGTAAAACTCTAATGTCCAGCGTGCAATTCTTGTATTCACCTCACAAAGACGCATGTAGAGCAAGCTGTTGCATCACCTCCCTTTTTAACTCAATGCTAATTCTAAAATGAAAGTAAGTTCAGTTCTAGCTGCTGGCAGCAGCTCCAATGATTGTAAGCATACAATCAAATGTTTCCTCTCTCTTTCATGCYTTTGGAAAGGGTTCTCCAACTTCCAAAAGTTTTTATTCTCTCCTACACTTAATGTTAGAGGGAACTGAAAGTTCAGTATCAAAAATAGCTTTAGAAAATGCAAAATATTGCAGAAAATAATGACAGAGCAGCAGGCAGAAGATGAAACCTATTAGTATTTGACAGCACAATTTTTATATCCAGTACTTACAGCAAGTTAGACGAGGAATTGCACCTTTGTGTACTAAAGGCAAAGTACCAGCCTAGGACTACACATGAACAGTAAGTTCTCAGATTTTCCCTTTAATAATGGAACAATAAAAACTCRTAATTGCTTCAAATATTTATTTCCATGGCAAAAATAGACTATAATATATTCATTTCACATATATTACATTCAGTAATACAAGCTTTTCTGTCTATGAAACACAATTTATACACTGTTTTACAAACCAATTTCAGTTTTACAAGAATTAAAGCTGGTTTGATTATACATTTTTACAGTATTGGTGGCAAGACAGCAAAAACAGACATGATAACCACTAGCTTAGTACTAGAAAATAATACTTCATGTTTGCTACTGTTTAAACAAAGTCCCATTTAAATCCTTGTGTACTGGCTCAGGTGAAAATTGAAGAAAATGGAGCCAGATCCTGTGTTCCTCTGACACTAAAAACTCAATCCTACAAAACTGCTGATAGGATTTCAAATGCCCATTTGCTTTGGGTGAATGAAGAAATTTCAGCAGTGTGCAGGAGTGTACATACTGATTTGCCAGGTAAAGCCTCTTAAATTTCCATCCAAATCCCACCRCCCCCAGAAAAGCCACAAAGAGGACAAATAAGTTGGGTATTTAAAAGTAATTTAAGCAAGTATCTTTGTAAAGAGTGTACGCACTTTGTCAGAATTATTCAGGATTAGCAAGGTGACATACTGGAGGATTTTACAGGAGYTTTCCTCATCAAATTTCCTCTCATTCTAAAAATTAATGGCATTTGCGACTTCTTTAAAGTATATTAAAAGTCTCCTAATTTTACCTAAATATTTCCAAATGGAAAAACAGCATTTAAATTCCCTTTATAAAAGTTAGGCACCTTCTGAAACTGTGCTAATGAAATCAATAATTTGGTAGTTGGATTGCTGCATATCTGAAGAAACATTAGAGCATCTACAGGTTTGCTCTTTGACTTGCCACAGGCTGGATCTGCTGTAAACTCTGTTCATTAGATTCTTTACATTTGATTTCTATCTTCATTCCCTAAGTAGAGCTGAAGAACAGACTTTTACAAAACAAGAACATTGGAGGTTCTTCTTTCCCACTGAACACAGCATCATGTGGGAAAYAGCAAAGAATAGAACCAAAGGCTATTTAGCAACAGTTTTTTGAAATGCTCCTTGAAGTTAGCAAATCCTTTTTTTCTCAGCCCAGTCAGACCTTAAAATAGCATGTGATACCAACAGAGTGCACCAAGTTAGCTGGTCCCCAGCAAGATCTTATTAAGAATTTAACTTTTCTTTTTACAGATATGTTTGCAACAGCAGTTAAGAGTTTCAGATTTCTTTTCCCTTACCTTAGTACAGTATTACACTGCTTTAATGTCAGTGTATTGCAAATGCCACACTGCAACAGAATTTTTAAGTACATGGTAAATTCCACATTCCAAGAGTCTCATTGTTATCCCAGCCTTAATTTGGTGCAACTCATACCAACTGTAAACACCTGGCTTCATTTAAAACATGGTTAGACTTTTGAATCRTCTCACCTGTATCCATTAGAAATTATCACCACAAAATTGCAAGTATGCCTATTCCTCCTGCATTTTTTATTTGTAAAACCAGAGATTGCRGTTTGAAAAATCTGACCTTTAATAAGTAAACAGAAATTGAGCTGACAGATTGCATTCCATACATTKGGAAAGCAAGATATGTAAAAATAACAGAGCCTCTGAAAAAAAATATTTGGAGTTTAAAAAAATCACATTTTAAAAAGCCAGTAAAAATAACACCTATGACTATATATTCACTTACCCTACCAYGCCATGAAAAACATACCATATGACTCAAACCCTTCTAGCAGCTCTACTGTGGATACAAATCATTCMAAATTCTCCTCCAAATGCCTTCTGCCACTCCTCAAATCCTCACTCTCTATGTCCAAAATTTTGTACTTGCGCAAGCAAATTTCCTGTGAAATCTCAGCTACTTCTTTGAATGCTGTACCTTCCTGTATGCACATTCCTGCTGCATTCTTTCAGCTAATTCTTGTAATCTGTGTTTAAATTTAAAGCAGACATGAGTATTTGTGCTTCAAGGGCTCAAGCTTTCATCGGCATTAAGCCCATTTTAATTCCTACAGGATCATGAAGAACTGCAGGAATTTTGCAACTTGCAGGACTGGACTCTGGCTTTGCACAGCTTATCAGTATTGGAAAAAAMCCCAACCCTAAACTCTAAAGCACTGAGTTTCCAGCAACTGAAGCATTGATTCTTTAAAATTGGTAATTTGAACTATTGAAACACAGTAATGGGTTCATTATTTTTAAGTCCAGGCATTTAGTAATGCTATTGATGTTAAAACTGAGGTCTCATTACACAGCCATGATAAACAACCCTGCAGTTCCCAAGTTTGGTCCAGAAGCCATTGAAATCTATGAGCCACTCAACTTCAACAGCTGCTCCAACACAAAATACGCAGCAGCACSCTCAGGTAGCCTTACTTCCTAAATTTAAAGAAGCCATTTTGGAGAAAATGGCTCCAAGTATTGCTCACTTCAAACAGAGATACACAAGACTACAAGAGGAGCCAAAAGTAAATTTCTCAAAATGTCAATAATCTTTTCCATTTTAGTAAAAATTTATTTTACTTTTATTTGTTATTACTGTATTTTATTTTTTTTTCTAATGTTGATAATTTAGAGCCGCTTTTCATCCACAGAAATACAGGAACACTGCCTTGGTCACATGCTTTGAATTGAATGTATTTCTACATATAAACCATAGCACCCTGCACCTGTAGTGTTTATTGTTCACTTGTGTGAAAGGTATTGCAATGAGAGAAATAATAAGGCATAGAACTTTTCCTGCTCTTCCTGGGGGACAGCAGAAAAGGAAAGCACTGTTGGGCAGGCTGCAGAGCTTCTCCCTCACCCCACAGGGCCAGGAGGGATCTGCAGCCTAAAGCTAACCCAGCTAAGGCAGGGGCATCTTTGTAATGGACAGGCTCAGACTCAGCTTCTTGGAGAAGAGGTTTTAGCCCAAGACTACAAAGATTCACTGGCCAAAAATATCTCTCATCAGGGCAACCAAGAAAGAAATAAAAAATGCAGAAGTCCTTACTACAGTCTGCAGGTTCTTTCCCTGACKCTTCATATAATGTGATCCTAGAAAGCATCTCCTACCTATTCAACAAAAGACCACCAAATCTGTCTCCTGACAGTATATAGCACCTTTATTTGTCCCTGAGAGCTCTGACATCCCTAGAAATCAGCATCATCTTTGCCATTTGCTGCAAGAACCCTTCACACAACTTTTCTTACTAAACAAACTGTTCAAATCTTGCATAATCATCTGGTTTAATCCCCATAAAAACAGAAGYACATTTGGCAAAATCGACAGGCTTTTAGTGAAATTTTAAGTTTTTGACAAATAAATCCACCTCCGACTCACACTGTGACTAGATTTGGACAGTGGATATTCTTATAACATCCATCACTTCATGAAGCACCCAGCACAACTACATGTAAAAATGCATCCCTTTTCAAGGCTCAGAACAAAAGTGCTAAAACCTGAACTGTCTTTTATAAGTTAACTGAAAATCTAAACAATGGTTTACAAAATAATTTTGTTACAGAAGGTTGTGAAGTTTAATTTCRTTTGGTATCTTTAGAAGAGAAACTGCTCGTTTTCAATGCTCACTCAGAGCCATATGCTTACATACTAAAGCAATCCTACAATCTTCAGTAGAAAGTCACATAAAGTCAAGACTATTAAGGTCAAGTCTATTAATGCAAAAACAGACTGCTGATGGACAGAACTGGGAGCTGAAGGGGAGGAGGTAGCACTGTTACACTAAAAATAAAAAAAAAAAATCAAGACTGACTACCAAATTTGAGCACAGCCACCTCTAAAAGTGAACAAAACTTCTTTTAGCAAAMCAAAAAAATAAGCTAAAAGACACACATTTCCTTACCCACCTCAGATAATCCCATAAGTACTGGATTAAATTGCTTGTTATAATTGCTCCTTTTAATGCCTCGCCGCTGATGTCCCAGAAACTGCTGAACAGCTGAAAAYTGTTGCTTGAAGTTTTGGTTGTCCATCATGTCTTTAAAACTGCATCTATCAGTTTATGAAGATCACAGTGCAAAGTTTAGAAATKGATAAGGTACAAGCTACATTTTAAAGCCTGCCCTCCCTTTCAAAAAGGTTTCTGCAGATAGAAGTGCACTGTGGCAAAAATTAATTATGTTTTTAAAACACACTATGACACAAATAGCTAAGTATGTTTGTTTCTTTCAATACTTCTGTCAACACAAACATGTCAGATTGGTTTGTTTGCAAGATTTATATATAAAGAATCAGTCTTCAGCAACTGGTTTCCTCTGGAATTCCAGTTTTATATTTGGCAATTAATAATTCCTAGGCATTTTATATAAGAACAACATTTATTTTCCATTGTCTGAAATGTTCAATCTAACTTGTAATGTGAGTAAAACAAATCAGACTCCTTCCAAGCAGACCTGAAAGCACCATATCAAAACCATGTACCTTAAAGTAATATATTGTGTATAAAATGACATATTAGCACAATGTCTTTTGGACCATGTGTTTAACTTTGTGGAAGTAGCTTATTACAGAGGAAACTGAGGCAACCTATTTGTTAATCYTAATGTTTTGGGACAGAATTATTGTTTTGAAGGGGTTTCCATAGTTTCCAAACCCTTGTTAGAGCTCAGAAAAATARCAATGTTAGCACTAATAAATCTGACTTTTAGTTTCATTTTATTTTGCTAAGCAGGTATCAAGGGAAATGAACACCTAACCATTCCTGCAGACAGGTCTGCTACAGGATTTTTTTTTTTTTAATTGAACCAGATATCTAAGAACTATAGCTCAATTCAGAACATCAATTTTCAGCATCCCAAAACACTTGGAAAGGCAGCTAAAACCACACTGTCCCCATCTGAAAACCACAGAGGATTATTTAGGGATATCATCATTTGACCATGGGACAAAAGGGAAACTGTGAGGGCTGTACCTGCCTCCTTCAGGTCCATGCCACTGACTCAGCCACCTACAGAGCTGCTAAATCACCCACATCTCCAGCGTTTCCTCTAAGGGCTCTTCTTCTGCAAGTGCTCTCAAATGTTCTTCACTGCAATGCTGCACAGCACTAACAAAATAATCTGGAGGGTTCTACAGAAACTTCCAGCACTTTAATGGCTTTCTTGGCTGAGAACATTAATTTTTTTTTATGGTCATCTTTGCACAGTGTAAACCAGCAATCATAGCTGCCACACCCCCTCCATTACACTTCATACAATCATTTCCACTTCACCCYTCTGCACCTTCCTACTCCCATTTTGGTTCTCTCACTACATCAACTTAAAAAGCTCTTCCTAAAACAGCAGGTTAGTAATAGTATATTACCAAATGAAACAATGCATGATTATAGTCTCTATATTTAACTACATAAATAACAGAGCAGAAAAAAAAGTGCTTAAAACATTTGCATCCACTTTGATTTCAGCCAGTAAAATCAAACTGTCCTCTAAACATATGAATAATACTGAATATGTACTTTCTCTCATCCATTTGTTTCCAATAACCTGTAGATAATTACAATATTTTTCCCCTGCCTGTTGCAGGTAAACATGCCACCTCTCCACTGAAAGTTATCAAGTTACCATTAKCTTTCACTTGTCTGTGCTATTACACGGCACTACAACTAACTACCAAGAGCTTCCCTAGGACTTTCTGCATGATTTTTGAAAAGTTGGTTCAAACATGGTCTGTCTTCTCCTCCAAAAATATTGCTCTGCTTAAAAATTTTTCTGTCATGGTGTTCYGGTTTGTTTGTTTTTTTAATTTAAAAATCCTGAATATAAAAATAACTGTCCTTACAGCAACAGCTTAAAATATCTAAGAGCTGCTAATTTTGCTAAATAAACCAGAGGATACCAAAAGTTCATTTTAAAAAATATAGATGTATTGTTCTAAATATAAAATTGAAAGCAGAATGAAACTGCGTAAGACCTTGACATTCACAAGGGGCAGGTTTCTCASCCCATGTGCACCTACAGATTTTAGCTTTTGCACAGTCAACAACTCTGTTTCAAAACAAAATGTTAACAAAATTGTGCTGTATACCTCCATTCCACAAGATACTTATTTTGCTCAGAGTAACATCACTCTAAAGAACGTGTGCAAGTACTACAGACCAGTACAAGCAAAATCATTCCTTAATGTGATGACTGTGGCTGAACATGGGAAGAATTCAGTCCAGTGAAGATCCTGCTTTGCAGGGACTGTTATGCTGAGTGGCATTGAACAGTCACATGGCAGCCCTAAAGGGTAACTGTGATTCATCACATGAAGAAAACACCAGTGAGAGAGCAGCTCTGGCTGGACAACTGTGATTTTCTTGCTGTAAACTCTTGCAGTGTCCCTTAGGAAGTGGCAGGGATTAGATAAGTCTAGAACTTTTGAGAAACTGAATGAGAACTCCATAAACAAAAGTGTACTGTGAAAGAGTCTGCACCATCATCATCCTCTGCTGCCTCAACATATCGAGCACTCGTGGGATGTCCAGCATCTGGAAGAAGAGAAAAAAACATTRTAAGTGACTGGTGAGCAAGGAAACCTGCTGGGAAAGTGCAAGCCAGAGGTTCAGAGCAGCACCTCAGTGATCTAAGGGCAGAACCAGCTGCTCTGATTTCAGCTCAGACAATTCACTGCCCAGGCCTGCACTATGGACTGCACTGCACCACTGATCATCTGGGAAATGTGCATAATGGGAAAGTTACCTATCTCATGGGGTCTTCACAAATCTAATGGATCAAAAAGTCTGTCACAGAGTTAGGAGAGGGATGCACATTGAAACAGTACATTTGTTGAGTTTCAGCTGACATATTATTAATGAACATTTTACAGCTGTTCACTTCTAGCTAAAAGTTGACAGGACCAGTTTTATTCTATTAAACTACTACTTTGTCCTCTACTGAGACTGATACTGCAATTACATTTAGGAATAATATTACGGAAGTACAGAGACTGGCTACGAAGCATGTTCTTGAACATTACCCATTCTAATTAAGGGAAGAAGTGGCAAAGTCAGGATGAAATCCTGAATTATGCTCAGTGGCCAAGGGCATACCTTGCTCCACTCCATGACTCAAAATCTTAGGGAGTCAAGAATCCAAATGAGCATTCCAGTGCTTGGTGTGCATGTGGGCAGCTCTAGAAGATCATTAACTTCTGTTGAATCCCCAAGAGCTATTTCAAGCCCAGCTGTAAGGCCTCTCCCAAAGGCTGCTCAGATGAACAGCCCTAACATATTTCAGGCAGGTTATTTACYCCTCTATTACCTAACATCATGGAAAGCACAAGAAAAAAAAAGAGCTTGCCTCATTGTGCTCCAAGCAGGCAATCATGATCTCRGACAGTATGACCACTCCTGTCCGCCCCACACCTGCACTGCAGTGCACCAGCACGGGGGGATTCGAGCTTTTAGGCTCTGCTGTGCTGTTGGTGTGGCGCCGCACCGACTGGATCTCTTCCAAGTATGCTATCAAGTTCAACAAGATAAGAATAATTCATTTAGGAGATAAAGTCCCATAAGCTATGCTGTTTTCCTGTATGACTACCAGAAAAATAGTAATTTAACAATTGATRTCCCATAGCAAAATGATACATTTTATAAATCACAAGTCATACCTCAGCCATAGCAATGCAGATCTATAAAGACCATCTAACTTGTGTAAGGATTCCCTTGCCTTSTTCCCTATTCCTACTAAAGGCAGCTTGTGGCCATCTTGCAACTGCTGCAACACACTCAAATGTGTAGTATGTGAAGCAATTRTGTTTTATTCTATATGGACTTCTGGTAAATTATTTGCTTTAGACAGAAGGAGTCACTTTATAAACTATCAGGTATATTCCTGCAAAAAGTATAATTCAGCATCTCTTGCTGGTGTGAAGAAACCTTTTACAATAGAATGCTTGGCACACTTATCAAAACCTACTTCATATACAGCAATTTTAGAAGGTATTAAAAAACCACCACAAACAAAACCCCAAAACAAAGCTATTAAATGCAACTTACATAAAAATCCCTTTAAATCTTCTGGACAGCCATGCTCTGGCCAGTCAGTGTACTGCAAATGCCAAACCGTTCTCTCCTGTCCTGTGAGAAGATGTTTGATCTTCAAACCTGTAGTTGCATAGCAGCCTGAGTCGGTACGGAATCGCGTGGTAATCTTAAATCTTCCATAGGTCACAGTGTTGTGTCTCGAACCAAGACGTGGCCAGTATCTGAAGCTTTTTTCTCTCCCACTTTCCTTAAAAATAAAACACTTGCTTAACAAGAAASCTGAGAACATTCATACAATAATGGTCCTGTATTAAGACCTGTATCTCTCCTCTATTAAGTATTACTGGAATGTTCTTCTTACTGAGAAAAACAATTTCAAGAGTTTGAAAATTCATTTTTCTACTGAAGAAATCAAGACAGAACAGCAAGGGATCACAAGAAATTTATCTTTAATCAGACTGTTTCTTGGAGCAAAGATCCTTCCTCTTCCCCTAACAGATTATAAAAGAAAAAAAAAAAATGTGGAATTTCTGGGAGAAATCTGATTCAATTTCTACTCACTTCCTCTGCCGTCACCATGGCTATGATCGCAATCCCTTGTTCCCAGATCATCTGCCAGAAATCCTGACATGTATTCTGCAAAGGGCCTTGCGTGGCAATGTAATCCCAGTCTATGCCACCAACAGAGATCTGTAAGAAAGACATTAGATTAGTGATTACTGAAACCCCAATTCTAAAGCCTGCCATTTGCAGATGCACAAAATTTAAAAAAAAGACAGCAACACTGTAGAAATAAGAGCCCATTGTGAGTTATAKCTGCCCCATTTTTCAGCTGCATCTTGTCAGATGCAGAAGACACACAACTGTATAGGCCTATAGCTAAAAAAAATGTATATCATAAACATAATGTAAACTGAGAAAACAAAATTGTATTTCTCATTTGTGAATTTAAGGTATTACAGCAAATTCAGGTTTAGAGACCCTTTCACACTCGGGTGCTGTAAAAATTATTTCAGTACTAGTTGTTTCTTTCTGAAAAAATACTATCGTGTTTGAGAAGGATCACAAGATTCCCTCAACATTTGTGAGTGAAGCAGAGAAACTACAGTATCATGTTAGTGTACAAACAGATTTATTAAAAAACACAAGTACTGCTCTGACAACCTCAGTCTTTCCAGAGAAAGCATGAAGCAAACTGTAGTTGCTCAAGCTGCACTTAAGGCAGGTAAATGCATTAATAAATGAAGGAAATGCATTGAATGCTCTTGAGGTAACCCTGCAAATTCTTCACTTTTAAACAGAGCTTAAAGGATTAAGTATGGGGAAAGGAGACAACTGAAAGTTTTGAAAAAGTCAGTTTCCCCCTGGCTTCAGCAGTTCCTCTAACTATCCAAAAAAGCTTAAGCTGGGCACTGACTTACTGCCCACTGTGGATACAGTCTGAGAGTACAGGAAAAGAAGAGACAATGATTGTCACTGCAGATCAAAAATATCAGACATTGCAGAGGACCCCAGTTTGTTTCAAACCTATTTGCCTTCTTAGCTCTGAGAAGAATGGTCATGCCTTCTGCTAGCAGCAATCCCCAGAGAGACAACACAGAAAGGCGACAATAGATCAAATTAACTCGGAAGAAAAATGCAGAAGACCCCTCCAATAATTAATCCTCAATTATTCTAGGTAATTAGGAAAACAGGTTCCTGCTTTTCCCAAAGAAACCTCTGAGAAAGAAGGCAAAGAGAGAGAGAGATGGAGGGATTGTCACTCATCTCACCAAACCAAAATTAATAGCCAAATGCATTTTTATTTACCACATGAACTGGAAATATTTCTCCCAGACTATTTCTCTCACCTTGATATGAGATGCATTGATGTAACCCGTGTTATTTTCTTTGGTTGGGACCAGCTCTACTCTGGTATCATCGTAAGGAAGGACGTCCTGGAAGCGGTTTCTCTCGGCATTTTCGGGCAGCCGAGCTATGGAGCACTCCCCATCTCTCAGCCTTTTCTTCTGAATGCGCTCGTATTCAGTGAACACCATCCCCTGCTCCAAACGCTGCTCCAGAACTTTACACTGAAAGACAGAACACAGAYAACCATACAAAGCCACATTCCAAGTCTATTTTAAGAGCGTTCATGAGGGATAAAATGAATGTGTTTTCTTCTCCTACATACTTCTTCAATACTTTTCCAGCTATTAATGTTTTCACAAACATACCAGAATAAATTAGAAGCAACCCTAACCAGCAGGAATTTTATTCAAGTGAAAACTAAGCAGCCTGTTGTAATTCATTAGGTCACAAAGACCTATGTGGATACTGCTGGTAAAGGAAAAAATACTTTTATAGTTTCTGTAAAGATATCCCAGCTGGGGAACAAAACTGGCCAACCAGAYAGCTCTGCCATACTGCATGCTGTCTCAAATATCTTTGACCCACCTGCCCCATAGAGCATGCTGGATGACCTCATTTCAAAGGTCTCCTTTAACCTTAAAATAATACAAAAAAAMCCCAAAAATAATAAGAAAAAACCCACAAACCTAATTGTTTGGATGGAGAAAAAACTAAATTTTGATCACAGAAGGAATGCTGCCTCAGAATTTCTTGCTGCAGTCAAGGTATAAACCCAGATTTTTTTCTAATAGTGTAATTCAATCTTTTTTATTTAATAAACTGCTCCCTCCTCCCCTTTATTCTTCTGAAACCAAGTTGTTTCTAAATCATAAGACACTTCTGGAATTTCTGCACCTCTTTGCCAACAATAATTAGAGGAATAATATGTAAGATTTCAGCCAGAAAATTTCATCTATGTCACATGCCCCTGATTCTCAGAGCAACTGCTCTGTGGTATCAGGTCATAGAAGTGTCTTATATCAAGTAAGTATGCCAAATGTTGCTGAGGAAGGTGTAAACTTCCATCATATGCAATTTGCACACCAATACATCAACTGTACGAACTCCTTTATTATGTTCAGGCAAAATCCACGTATTTAAACTGATAATATCATGAAGCTGAGCAATGAAAGGTACTGAATCAACACTAAATTAATCTTCTAAAATATTTACACTCTGCACTTCCTTTTCTGTCACATGTCAACTTTGCATTGCCTCTTCTCAACTGTTCCAGGAATTACTCCCATTTCATGGTATTTATTCTACCTTTACGCGACTGCCTGAAGAGAAAGTGCAGTGACATGACTTTTTCATAACTTGACTTTACAGCTCCTTCTTTACCACAACGCTTTGGGCAGAGCTAGCTGAATAATACCACAGCTGAATCCAGTAAAGGTCAGAAAGAGATTATGGCTGTAAGTAAGAAATAACCAACACAGGTACTAAACCTGTATCTCACTAGCATAATGTTAATTTTTATCCCTTAGCATCTTAAGCAATACATATGAAGTTCAACCCAATTTTTACTGAGTGGCTTGCAATTAATTCTCTTGGCTTGCTCCTATAAACTGCAGCTGGTCAGAGCAGGACTATTCCTCCAGGTTCTAATCCCTGCCCAGTGACCAGCATCTGCAGCTGAGGATGCCCAACCGTGCTCAGAATTGGATTCTGTAGAAACCACTGGTCACAGAATGGGCAATAACCACTGCAGAATTCCGTGTATCCAGTAGCTCCCTGGTCAGAAGTGTGATGGCAGCACTGTTCTCCACAGCTGTCACAGCCTGAATATTGACTGTATTTTACTTTCCCGCATTTCTTTATTGATACACGAGACTGAAGCAGATTTACTGATATTTTTATCCTGATAMAAGCAGATGAAATCTTCTTTTTCTCAAAGAATGATCCTCATATTCTAGAACCTGATGTCCTCTCATTGATCTGACATCTTTTCCTGACTTTAAAAATCCAGCAGAACAAACAAGTTCCATCTATCTTTTTTGGGCTCCACCTGAAGAAAACAGATAAATACAATCTGCCAAGTTGTACTCTGGGGATGCAATTTAACTGCAAAAACACCATAACTGCAAAAACTCTAAACACCATATTAATTACTTACAACTAAAAATCAATCAACACTCAGAATTTTAAGTTTCACACCTCTTCACTCTGGAAAACCCAAAATTAAGAAAGAAAACAGGAAGAGTTGCATAAAAATATATCAGTAGATACTAGTTCATTTGTTTCCTGTATGTTCAAAGGGTATAGTTGAATCACTGTCATCTTAAACAGAAATCTGAGTTACACCCAATACTTTTAGCAATGACTTGTCAATCAGAAATATTTTCTATTCTCAGCATTTGAGTTGCCTTAATATGAAGGAATTTAAAGTCAATAAAATATACCATTCATAATAATGTAATTTTGAAAAATTGGGAGTGTAAATCAAGCATTAAAAAACGTCCACATACTCGTTCATCGTTTGTTGCTCTTGTTGATTCTTCCTTCCCCTCATCTGGCAGAGGCATTCTCGTCAATGCCAGTCCATTCAGTGCAGCTAGCTTCAGAGGCCCCATTTTTTTGGCATCATTTTTATTCTTTTTCATACCCTGCAAAAGACAAGCTAAATCTTGTAAATATTCTTAAATATCTGATGAAGTTATAAAGCAGAAACCTGATGATTTCAGCTAAGCAAATGGATACTTGTCTGACCCCTTCTGAACAGCTCTGACCTTTTTCTTTGATAAGCACTGCAGTGAGAGATTAGGGTGGTGGGACTACATTCCTCCAAGGACACAACACAAGTTTGTCTTCATTCCAGACAGGTTAATGAAACTGCACGAGAATGACAAATATTGGTCTCTACAAAGCTCATGACTGAGGGTGTGAGGTGGTAACTCCAGATAATTAACATTCTTGAACAGAACTGGGACCACTTCCCAGCCCCAAATAYATGTAAAAATAATTCCTTACTAAATATTCGGTTTGCAGGCACTTTTCTTCCCTGCAGGCAATGACCATATACCTTTAAGATATATGGATATAGTTAAATGTTTTACTAAGTTTGCAACAAACTGCACATACAAAACATGAACACAGAACTGCAGACAGATTTGAGTCCTGGACCAGGCCATGAATCTAAATTATGGAATTACCATTCATTGAGAAAAATATCAAAAGGGGATTTCTACAGAAGAATCAATTCAAATTATTCTTTTAAAAAGGTAGGACAAAACTTCATTGTTCCTGCAATTGCTAAGTTTAGTTTTTTACAAAAATACACTGAAAATATGAGCGTATATGCTGCTTCAATAGTAATCAATGCTCTCAAAAGTTAAATGGTGGTAAGAATTAGCAAACAAAGCTAAGAGGATGAGACCACATTTAAAAGTGAAGTGAACACAAACACAACAATAAAAATTCATTGAAAAGCAAAATGTGCAAGCATTGGTAGGGGCCAACTTTGTAACCAGGATATTCATCTCAATTATGAACACAGAAAGGTAATATTCTGTATTATGCAACAATACTCTTAAAAGTTTCTGAACTAGAAACTATGTTACTGAACATTTTCAATGAAAAAGTTCTACTATTAATTTCATTTAAAGGTTGACAAGAACATTTACRTAACTGCCAAAAGGAAAAGCAGGGTATGATTTTGGTAGACACATTAGTGTCTGAAAATGTATCTTTTGGAGAGCAAATAGAACCTACATGTGAACACAAGGAGGAAGGTGTAAATTTTTTTCTATATTCACATTAAAAACAAAAACACAGGAGGAAGAAGATGTAGAAAAACACACAATTATAAAATGATTTTAAGCTGATGGAGGTTCACATCATTGTGTTCACCTCCATGTATTGCACATCTGACAGACAAAAACTTGTGAGAGCAGTAATTATTTCAATACATAGCTTTTGCAGCATCAGCTGTAAGTTACTACAGCAATACAAGTTATAAAATAGTTCCCCTGCAGTCCAATTTTTGCAGAAAACTTTGACACTAACTCAGGTATCAATGAACTTTAAAAGGCAAAATAATAATGAAAAATGGTCTTCCTGAAAAATGGTCTTCCTCTGTTAACACTGAAATCTGCCACAAAATACATAGAACTGAAAAAAAGTTTAAAGCACAGTGGGCRGTAAAGAGTGCCAGTGAAATTGTATACATCCACATAGACCTTGATGTTTCTSTAAGGTGGGAATTACAGGAAAAGTAAAACTTGCAGTTTTTCACCATTATGGCATCGTAAGATTGGAGTAGGAGAAAGAGAAATGACAAGCAAAAAATACCTTCAGTGGGATAAAAACAGCTTGAAGAAAAGGCAAAAATGAAAGGATATGAAAAACGGAAGGCATGGAGTAAAGAAGAGAATGCAGGGAAAGAATTTATTCCTTAAGGTGTCAGGTCAGAAGAAGTAGGCAAACAAATTTTCTAAAAAGAAAACATTCCAGTGCACGTGATTTTTCAGTGAGAGGAAGATTACAAAGTTGAATGGAAAGAGTTGCTTCTGTTCCAGATAATGAGAAATGGGGCAAAATAGGGATCTAGAAATGACTTTAAATCAGCCCAATCTAAATTCCTAGCCAGGTTAGGTTATCAGAGGGATGGAGACTGCACAGCTGGATTTGTGTGGGAGGACTACAYGGACAGAATTCAGACATGGCAGAGTAGGGGATACAAGACAGCTATGCAATGTTAATCACGAAAATAGAAAAACAAAGGTCAAGCTTAAGGTAGCTTTTAATTCATATGCTTTAAAACCATCTCAGGTTGATTAAAAGAACCCCAAACCTCAAAAAAAAAAAAMAAAAAAAAAAMAAACCCCAACCAACTCCTGCTCCAGACAGCCCAAAACAAGACAAATAGTATCCACTTACACCTAGAGGGGGAAGGCCTTCCACAATATTCTTCTTCCCAGACAAAAGATCAGACACAGGTCTCTTCTTTACTGAATCTTTCCTTACTCTGTATCTCCCTGATGTTGTAAGATCAGATTCCGACATAGATGGAGTGAGGAGTCCTTCCCCTCTTCTCTGTACCTGACTTTCTACTAGCAAATGAACAGGGCTCAAATCTTTCATTCTCTTTTCTGCCTCTGTAATATGTAATTTAGGCTCAAGAATATGCAAAGGGCCAGCAGAGGAAGCAACAGAACTGTAAGGGTAGTTTAGTACTGAATCATGAGAATAACCTCCCATAACAGATGAAAGTTGAGTTTGATCTTCAGGGAGAGGAGAAAGACTTGTACTGGCCTTGTTTTCTTCTTCAAATTCTTCTTCTTCCTCACTACTGTGAATCAGCATAGTGGCATCTGAAAGGGTTTTCTTGTGATCACAGTTCACACATTCTTCTTGCTCACCTTCCTTTTGCTTCGCTCTCTCCATCAGAATGTTGGGCTGTGACCCTTCRGAGATAACTCTTGGAAGAGCCACATCTGCTGCAGAAGCTGACATGGTCCTCTCTTTAATTCTTATTCCTTCAAAGCTGGGAGTCAAGCCTGCTATTTCAATACTGTTCCTTTTCTGCAGCTGAGCGTGGCGTGCCGACGTCAGAGGTTCACTGACCTCCTGAAGAGAATGTGCCACAGGCAGGCTGTCTTCCTGAAATGTCTGGACAGAATGGTGCACTCTCCTTGTGATGAGATCTGGATTGCTGCTGCTGATGTAGATGTGTCGAGAAAGGTCTGGAGTACTGTTTGCAGGCCTTGGGTACGGGTAGGGAGGAGGTGGTCGATAGACTTGAGTCTTCATTATATTTGGTGCTGGATAATCCTGGGCCTGGAGCTGCACATTTGTCAACTCTGGCACACTGACTGCCCCGACAACTGGGCGCTTCTCAGCAGGGTAGGGATAGGGGGATTGGCTATGGAAGCTGTAGTTGAGGTTAAAGGGATAATGGTTAGACTGTGGGGCAGCAAAGTGAGCATGTTCTCGAATTTCAGGCTGACTGTAGACTAAGGCATCAGGCCTGCTGTAAGCATAGGAGTTGCTGATGTTAAGATTTCTCATCGAGTGACTCTGCCTATCCGTGTGCACCATTCCCCTGTTGAGCTGTCTCATCACAGTCTCATAGTCCGGCGTGGGACGATAAGATGGTGGTATGAGTGCACTGTGCCTGTGTGATGGCACATAATCAGTTCTGAGCACATCACTCCCAGTGATGCTTGGGTTGGAGGACATGGGGGATGGCTGCAGGTAATGCTGGGGGTTGTTCAAGGAGTTTGTGCTGTGTGCACTATAGACACTCCCATTGCGGATCCGACCGCTGTAGTCGTGAGGGGCTCTGTCCAAGCTAGTCTGAGAGTGACAGTAGTATCCATTCTGACTGCTCACAAAGAGGTTATCTGAAAGTAAAGTTTAAGAACAATCTTTATGTCCAGGACATCAAACAAAGTTGTCCTCTATTAGGATGCAGCTGAGGCAAGGTTTGAGATTTTCAAAACTTCAATTATTCTTAGCTACATAGCAATGGGAAGGAAAAAACCCAAAATCCCAGTTTTTCTGTTGTTCTTGATACCCACGGTATAATGTAATCTATTTTATTTCCATCAATGATGCAAATCCCTATGGGAAAAAACATTGTTTAAGGACTACTTTCTCCTGTTTGGGATAGGTTTGCTCAGTCTCAGTCCAAGATAAACAAAGTCTATTATCAATCTTAAACCACACACCACTTGAAAAAATGAATGTCTACACTAAGATTTGCTCTAATGTAAGAAAATAATTTTGATCAGCAATGAAGAAAAAAAAAACACAACAAAAAAACCAAACCGAAAAACCAAAACTACCATCAAAAACCTAAAAACAGCCCCACAAAAAGCAAACAAAAAAACCCTGGCTCTTCTTGTGTCTTCTGTTTCAGGGCATAAGTAGATACAGTACTGCAAGACCTCAAGAAAAGTCAAATTCACTTTTCTCCAGAAATTTTGGAGACAGTTTAAACTATCACTTCATATTGTTCACACATTAACATATACCTACTCTGATGGGTAAAGAAAATGGTCTAACAGTTTATACATCCAAGACACATTCAATAATTTAATTTCTACTTTCTGGATKTACAATTTGCCAGTCTCCAGAAGAGAACAATTCAGTCATTGCTGTAGATGCCTTCCATGATTTAACTTCTTGGGTTAGCCAAAATAATTGCCACACCTATGCTAATGAATTTGCTGACAATCAAAAATTGTTTTTTGAAAAAAAAAGTTCAAAAATAGGATAGGTATAGTAGCAAGTATCCAGCAATAATTCCAACACTAAACTGGAAAGAATTCAGCTACATTCTGAATATAACTGAACTCCTGTATTTCATGAAGACATGTAACTGAAATACTTGTATTTCATGAAGACCTGTGCAACTCTGTTCAGAAAAAAATAAGTGCTTATTCCCTTCCTAGTGAGCTGGATTTTGAGAGTAYTATTTATCCAGCAGATTTGTAGGTCTGTAAGGTTCCTATCAAACCTGAGGTGACTTTGCAAAAGATTGGATTCAGCCTTTCAGGGCAGCAACTTTGTTAATTGAAGACACAATGTATAATAATCAAAATAATAAATGAGAGCAGCTATGACTCCACTGTAACTCGCTAAGATAAGGAGTCTACATTGCTTGAGAGTTTTAGGGCTTGCTTGGGTTTTTTCTTTCTTTGTTTCAATCAAATACATCCCAATTCCGTAACTTGCAAACTGCCTTATCCTTTGAATTCCTCAGCATCTTGTAGTCTAGCAACCTCAGGCAAACATCTCTCTTCCTGCATTGCAGGTTTAATTTTTTTTCTTTAATTTTTCAGTTGTGTGAATTGTGTGGGAACAATCTCTTTGCAGCTATTATGACCAGCACTGACAAGGATCTCACAGTGTCATAACATACCAGTTTGACACACAAACCAAAAAAAAGGACAGGTTAAACTCACACAAGACGCCTCAGGCTACAGCTGCTGTGTTTGCTATCCTAACTAGCACTGCTCATCTCCCACAGGAGAGGATATGGAGGAGGAACAGTGGAGGAATCTGGGGYTGTTTAGCSTGGAGAAAGAGAGGCTCAGGGAGAAYCTCACCAATCTCTACAACCACCTGAAAGAAGGCTGCAGTGAGGTGTGTTTGTGTCCTCCCAGGTAACAAGCGGCAGCACAAGAAGGAATGGCCTCAAGTTGCACCAGGGGAGGTTTAGATCGGATATTACAAAATTYCTTCTTGGRAAGGGTGGTCAAGCATTGGAACAGACTTGTCCAGGGAAGTGCTGGGGTCCCTATCCCTGGAGGTATTTAACAGACATGCAGATGTGGCACTTGGGGACATGGTTTAGTGATGGATTTGACAGTGCTRTGTTGATGGCTGGACCTGATGATCTAAAAGGTGTTTTCCAACCTAAATAATTCTGTGATCCCATAACTGTATTTCACACTAGCCTATGGGTCTAGAGTAGCAGCAAGCACACTAGTGACTGTTCCAGTACAAACCTACCCCATGTTCACCCTTTAATTTATTCAGCTCTACCTAAAGCAGCTACAAATACAAATTGTAGCTTCTGCCTTCTAAAGTTGTATAGAGTGGCCATGGATCCAATAAACTCACCTTGGGAAGATGCATATGGTTCAGTATAATGACCATTGTAATGCAGCTGAGGTGGTGGAGGCATCATATAAGGCTGAGGCTTGGGCTAAGAAAACAAACACATTGCTGTTAATTAAAAACTGACTCTTAATTTCAAAAACAATTATTGAATATTATTTTATACATAATATATACCATTATATATCTGTGATATTATACACATTATATATATTATACACATTATATATTATATTATAATTTGTATAATATGACAAATAGATACATCCAAAGCGTTAATCTCAAACCATTCTCCAAACCTGCAATGTAAATTTTTCCTTTGATGTCATGCTAAAAATAATTTTAAAAATAGGAAAAAAACCGCTTGAAATCACACCCCACCAACCCAAGACCATATCTTGTCATCTGACATCTAGGAGAGTCTCTTAGAGACAGTGTCCAAATTGAAAATGGAAGCGTTGAAAATATTTTTAATTGCAATTATTTTAATTCCACTATTTAGCAGGTGCTCCTACAAGTCAAAACAGCTCCTCACATCATAGACTCATCTTTTACATTGCTCATTCYCCCTGAAGGGGACTAGTGCTTGATACAAAGTCAACTGAAATCCATAAAAAGGCAAACAAAGCTATCTGCKGTCCTTACCATGGACATCCTGGATGAAGACCGTCTTCTAACAGGATTCACTGTAACGGGCTGGGTTTGTCTACAGAAGAAATTTTATGGTMAGAAATTATTCTTAACAATAACAAGCTATTTCAAACATCAGAAAGCAACCTCAAGTTCAATTAAAAATCATGTACATTTCTTAGAGCCAGGCCTGTGTTAGTGCTCCACAACAGTATCAAAAGGAAGAGCTCTGTGCATTAGCCAGCACTGCAAAGCAAGAATCAAAAATCCAAGATCAGAATATCTCAGTTATTTCTTTGAAACCCATATAAAATCTCCTGTTCTACAAGCTGCCTGCTCTACAATTCAGACATAAAATTGTTTAGGGACTGTAACGTTACAGATGCTACATGAACTGGAAAGCATGACTATACTGCATTAGCATTTGCATGTTCTAACATTCATGCTAAAGGTAATGAATTTTCATACTTTGTTGGATTGGCTCCAGGATATAAGGTTCAGAAGTTTCTAGCTCCTTTCCCCCCCCACCCTACACTGCACCTGTGCTCTGCATCTTGCAGCAAGATAGAGGTCAAAAGACAGCAGCACAATAGAAATGCAGGAACTGCTATTTTTCAGCCAGAAAGATGTTTTTAAGCTCACCCTTTGGGAAGTGAAGGACGAGATAGGATTGGAAAGCGTGGAAGAGAAAGAATGAGGGAAGATTTCTGAGAGCCCTCCTCAGGTGGAGAGTCCAAGGAGTCTCTAAAGACAAGGTATGTACAGATTTAGAAAATAACTCCTGGAGTTAATACAGGCACGCGTAAGATGGTTTTCAGCAGCAGGACCAGATGACAGGAAATCTTAAGAGCAGAGATAATCAGAAAAGTTTTTTTGAGGACTTAACCGCATGTAAAACTATGCTGTGTTAGAAMAACTACAACATGTAATCCTAGAGACTGACATTCAATACAGAACCATWGAGCTGACAGTATTCACACAGAAATGCACAAATGCACTACTTGTAKCTATGCTTCTTACCATCAAGACAGACAGGTTTACAAGCTTCAAGATAGGAGGTTTCCCCTATTTCAAATTAATCTTACTTCCCAAATAAATTAGGATTAAACATACAATGAGTCACCAGTGGCACAAAATACTGGTTTATCTTTCCACTGGCCTCAGAAGACTTCAAAGCAACCCCTCCACATCTGTCTTCCCAAAGAGGAATGAAACAGGAATCATGCCTTTTCAATGACAGAGACTATTAGACTTTGTGTCTAATTCTCTATTCTTTGACTGAAGAAACTTAACTTGAGGAAAGCTGTACCAGTGAAGTAGCTCAAATTCCAGCCATTGATTTACAAGTTGGACGCCAGCCCATTTAAATTTAATTTGATGAATTGTATTAAATTTACTTTGCCCTGGTGCTACTTGAGCTATACAGATTCCATGGATACCTAAAGAACCACATACCTCCCAGCTGTCAATCCAGCACATTTCAGGAGTGCTTCACATACACTGCCCGCCCTTTCAAAGGCTCTAGTGTCCTTTCAGAGCAGTTCACAGGCCAAAACCCTGCTGATTCCAGTACCTCACAAGCACTAGCAATATTAGACCACAAAGTAACTGAAATCTCTCACAGYACTGGGATCCAAAAACAAAGGCCAAACACTATTACTTATGGTAAGATCTCAATTGTGTAATATTGTCCTCTGCTATAAAGCAGGATGTTTTTCAAAAATTGGTGGTTAGCATTTTCTCAAAAAAGATTAAGAAAATGAACCCAAGACATTAATTATTACCATCTAAAAAGGACAGTAAAGACATTACAGAGGAGTCAGGAGATTTCACTTCACAATGGAAACTACAAAGGCACCAAGAGTTCTGCTAATGTATTCTACTTACAGGCTGCATTTATTTAGTCTGTAAAATTTGTGTCTAGCCACACACATCCTCCACACATATTTTGCTGTTTCCATATCTTCCTGCCAAAAAAAACAAAACCCAACATTTGCATTAGGTCAAATATTCATACCCTTCACTTGCTTTTAGACAAGCCACTGAAATTTTTAAGACTAAATTACCATTGACTGATCTCATTTTAATGCAACTTCATTAATGTCATCAGATTTTCCTTAAAACTTTACTTTGCAGGCTCTAACATGCATTCTAGCCTAAATATTTTCTTAGACTTATGAAATTTGAAAGTAGAAGCCTTTTGATCCGGACACTCTTTATAAGCTTTAATATTATAGTTTATAGTTAATATTGCCATAAGATTGTCAACAACTGCCTTTGGACAAATGCAACTGGTAGATGCTGCATAAAATTCATTCTGCAAGGAATGCTGTGGTCCATTCCAGCAAAGCTCTAAGGCTATATTTATCTTTAATTACCATTGATTTAAAAGTAAAAAAAGAACATGCTAGAAATTTTACTGGAATGGATGAAAATTTTTATGACCCCATAACCAAACATTTCAATATACTCCAYATGAAAGTTCCAATTTTTAATGCCCTCTCATAGAAAGCTGGCCAAAGAGACAGTGTTATTAAATTTGACTCACTCATACAGCTCAAYGATGCTACATATAGAGAAAGCAGGTTTAAAACTTTGAGTTAAATTATCAGGTTTTTGTTTTGATTTACTGATGACTTAGTGAAAAAAAATAAAAATGTACTCACAGTTTGGAACTGAATTGTCTCCTCTTTGTTTGCCAACTCTAATGCAAAAAAGGATTTATTGTGGGACATGTTGGCAATATCATGCCACCTGCAGACAAAAGGGACAGGATATGACTGGCCAAGCTCTGATTTTCAAACCACAGAAAATGCAATTGCAGATCAGAACCATCACCAAAAATATGGATAAAGAACTGTGGACAGCCTCATATAGGGAAGAAGAGGGGCAGACACTGATCTCTTCCTTCCCATGACCAGTGACAGGACTTGAGGGAATGGCCTGAAGCTGAGTCAGGGAAGGTTTAGGTTGGATATTAGAAAAAGATTCTTCACCCAGAGGGTGGTTGGGCACTGAACAGCCTCCTCAGGGAAATGGTCACAGCCTGACAGAGTCCAAGCCTGACAGAGTCCAAGAAGTGTTTGGACAATGCTCTCAGGCACAGAGTGTGACTCTTGGGGTGTCCTGTGCAGGGCCAGGAGTTGGACTGGAAAATCCTGATGGTCCCTCTCAAGTCAGCACGTGCTCTGAGTCTATGATTCTGTGAAAAATCATTTTATGATCCTGTGAGAAAGTTCATTAATCTATCTRAACAAGTTGCAGACCATCACTTATGTACCATTAACAGCAGCTGAAAGGAAAACGTATGTGACTAACTCTTGGAAAGATACACAACATGTACAGTTGTTTACATCATTACTTGTCTTCCCTTTGAAATGGAGCATGATCACTGCGAGACTGCGTTCAGGTTTATCAAATGCATAAATACACATCATATCTAAGAGTCATTCCTGCTTGCCAGGAACACACATAAAATGTGAAGTTCACAAAGATATTTTATGAAARAGCAATACCAACCTAAATACAACAGGAGGACGACCATTTTTGTGTTTCACAAAGATACCATCAAGACATGCTCCAATGAATATGTCACTTCCTTGGCTGTCCTGGAAGAAGTTGCAAAAAATAATGCAAGTACAGAAAAAAGTCTTAGCAAAGTTACATAAGCAACTGCTGCTTTTGTAATTCYGGGGGAGAAACTTCTGGGTGGTGTGGGTTTTGGGTTTTATTTCTTTTTTGGCAGGAAGTAACCACTTTAAAGAGGGAGAAAAGGGCACTTGAGACAAAGATCAAAACCCAATTTACCTTTGCAGGATAGGTCTCTTCCCCATAGCCCTCCATTCTTTCCACTTCCTGCATATATAACATTTCCGCATCAGGTGGAGTAAGGCCTCTACAAATAAAAAAAAAATAACAATCAGCTAGTACTGCCAATAAGAAAATACCATCTTTGTTTTACTCTGAATGACACYGTCAAAGCTTGGAAAGCATCCCCAAGACATTCAGGCAAGCATCAAACCATATTGTTTTTATCTGTACCAATGACTGATATATCTGGCTCAGCCTTTACACTTTGATTCTAACAACTTCTTTCTCTCTGGAATCTTTGAGGGTAAATGGCAACAAAGACCAGTTAAAATTATCACCTCTGCTAACCGCAGACAATTATCACATTCTTGCTCAAATCCCTCATTGTCTCCATATTGCCTCATTTTATCAGAGGCACACATGTTCAAAACATGAATTTCCCCTAAACTTCCACAGGGCAAATATGAAGTCTGGCATTTCACATTTCAGAAAAGACTGTTTCATTTTCTAAATGCTGACAATTTTAGCTGTAATACTTTGAAAACATGAGGGCAAAATCTGTAGGTAAAGATAAAATTCTTTATAATTAGACCAACTGACAACAGAATTGTAATAATACCACAGGGCTTAAAAGCTGCGTTTACCTACCCACCAACATACCTCAGTTATAGCATAAAATATATTATCTCTTCCTGAAAAATCCTGTCATGCTCATTGTTAGCTCTCTATGCCTTTTTAATCATAAATATCTCAATTTCTTCACCTTTTCCTAATATAATGAAGATTAAGCTTTCTTTGCTGAACGTTAACCATGCAATCTTGTTATAAGTGCATTTCAAAAATAAGTGGAAGTTTCAAACTGTTGTTTGAAAACAATACAAGGGGATATATTCAGTATTACTCACATATTCACAAATATTTTTCACTGATGAACTGATAAAGAGAACTTACCTTTCCTTTGTCCCAGACTACTGTACCCCAGCTCCTTTCTACATAAGATCATAAACAATCTGGTACCATTACTGTCCCTGCTTTTCTACTGCCCTCAATACCTCCCAATGTTGTTTTTCAAGAAACATCCTCACTGGAATCAGAACTTCACATGAACAAGAGTCAGAAACATTATACAGGTGAAGTCACACTATTTAATTGTGTCCTATAGTCTTTTCAAGCAGAATCCTCCCATTTCTTTTACTAAATATTCTGTTCTCTCTTCATTTTCATTCTGCAAAAATTCTTGTAACTTTAATACAGATGTACTAGAGAAAAACTCATTTAAATGGGAGGTGAAATTAGTCCAACTGTATTTCCAGATTCATAACTTTCCAAGCTACAGAAGCTACTGAAGATCAAAATTAAGAATTTAAGAGCTTTAGACATGTTACCTGTACTTCTGATGTAGCAAGGCAACTTTCTGTGTTGCTTCTTCCAATATTTTTTCTTCTTGTAGCCAACCCTTAAGGTAAAATAGCATTTATGGAATAAAACAAAAATATTCTACAAAATTAAATTATTATCATTTCTGTACACGTGTGTATCAACCCTACACTCTAGTCTTGGAGCTTAGATGCTGTAATACGCACAAATAAACCCAAAAGGCACAAACACTGTTTTGAAGTGGTTTTACTCACCTTCCCATCTATACCTCAACCTTTTTTTCAGTGTAATATACAATAAAATTGAAAAGATCTTGCAGTATCTTTGTTTCTGTGTAATGTAAGGTGTCATATCTCACTCCAATCTCAAAAAAAACCTTTACTAAACTGGGCAGCCTAGGACCTGTAAGCTAGATGGATCTTGGAGTCTTTCTAAAAATGATTTGCATTTACCAGTTTTAAGAAGGATTTCTATTTGCCAATTTAATAATTTAAATGTATGAATTTAAAGTAAATACTTACCACTGGAAACAAAGCAAATCTTTGTAGAAACTCCTGAGATTCATACTGATCATAGTCTCCAAAATCCGCTAAAAAATAAAAAACATCTTGGATTCAAACATTTTTAACTAAATTATTCAATACCCAATTAATTGCAGCAGGATCTCCAAGTAGCAAATCTCCATCCTATTGAACTACAATCTGAAAGCAAAACAACAAAACAAGCTAATCAATAATCTTTATCAAGAGGAAAAGTAAAAAAAAAAGTCCAATCTTTTTACCTTGGTCAGAAAAATTGGCAACACTGCTTGTGGGTAGAGAAAAAGAAAAAATGATAAAGCAATCAGAATTCAAATTCCTTAGTTCTTTGATGTTTTAATAGTTTGATTTTTTTCAATCACAGACCAGTTGAGAGGGAAAGAGACCCCCAGAGACCTAGCTCTAAGCAGGATCAACTGCAGCAGGTTGTCTCAGAGCTTTCTCCAGGCAAGTTTTGAATATTGTGGCTTACCCTTCTTTACTCCCTSCTGTCAGATACTTCAGTATGGCTCCACTGTAACCTGGAGCTTTTCTCAAACACTGCACAGAGCAGCTGGGGCATCCTTTGGCTCACAAGGCTTCTACAGCTCCTGCACCCAGCCTTGCAGAAATTGGGAGCCAGAAGCCTTTCCAGACTCAAGGGCATGCTCAGAAAGGATTAACAGGTCTGATTTTAGAGTGCCAAAGAGCATCTCGAGAAATTTCAYTTTTTTTATGTTTCCAGGAAAGGACTAGCCAACATTTCAAAGAAGACAGCCTAAACTGGAAAAGCCATGTACCAGCCTCAGCAGAGAAACTGTGGAACAGCAGTCTGCATGGAATGGCTGCTCCCAAAAATTTACATTAGCCTACGCTCTCATACATATCAGTACMATTTTAGGGACATTTAGGAACCAATTTTGTATCAAGCATTAACAATTAATATGGAAGTTATTTATATGAAAGGGGAGCACCTCTGACACACTAAACTAACAGCTCTTGAGATAGAGCAATGTTTAGAATTAGCCAACTGTTTTTATTTTAAATATAGATCATTCTTGAAACCAGGTGACTTGCAACAGCAAACACTACTTCTGTTCATTCACCAGCTAAAATTAACTGACCTATCTGGTATAAGATACTTCAGTCATTGGAGAACATTAATTTTAGAACCTGTGCTTTTCCAGAGTTGTTTTTTCACTGTGTTATCAGCACATATAGTTCATCTCTTCTTCAGAAACAAAAAAAGGAAGGAAATGCTAAAAGGATAAATATCTTCCATCTAGAAGGAGGATTATAGTGAAAGATTTCTAAAAACAACTCGCTGAGTAGAGAGACATTTACATTGTCCAAAGACATGGAAACAACAGTGCAAGATTTTGTCAGAGTAAGACCATTAAAACCTGGCTTGGAACAGATTCACTGTTATATAAACAAAGCACTAAGACAATTTATCCTACTCCACTGGTAACCACATTTACAAAAAACATAATCATCATCTTTACTGYGATGCAACCAATGTATATAACTAACAAAATACAGAAAAAAAATGGTTCTATATACTGCCAATGATTATAAACAAGTTCTGTTCAATTTTGGCAGTTTTACAATTGCTGTTAGATGTACTGAAGGGGCATTCACTGTGAATGATACACAAATAACAATATACAAACACACTAAACACAGCTGTTGTCATTATAAACTTTTCAGAGACTTAGTATCAGATAAGCACGTTAGCAAGGAACACCAGACACGATCAGGGCAGACAGACTCAGGACTGGTATATACTCTATCCCATCTGACCCTTGTTGGGGAAAATAAAGCTGCTTTTTTTCATATAGGTATCACAGAAATGTGTTTTCAGGAGCGATTTCAACACAAGAATTTGTTAACAGTCTTGCATAATAACTTGAAACAATCTTATGTGATAGGAAATTTGGGATAAAAATACAAGTGCAACTGTGCATTCAAAGTTGCTTATTTATGAAAGTATGTCAGAATAAAGTCTTCACTAACAGAGGAAGGGTTTGTTGATGTAGGCAGACAAATAAAGCCTTTGCTCCCAAAGCACATGTTAGATAGCCAGGTACACCTCTGTGKACTGCACAGAAGCAGGTTTGGGACCACTGATCTAAATGCTCCTCTCCTCAGTCCCTATGACAAAGTTCACAGGAGCAAACCCCTTTCATAACTTACTGAATTGGGTCTTTTGAGTGACAAATAGAAAACATTTTATCAAGGTTTTTAATGCAACATTAGCTAGTTGGTACAATTTCTTACTTACCTTGAACTGCCAGACCAGCCAGATGTATTGCTTGTTCCAGTGTGCAAGGAATGTTGCCCTCCAAGATATCTTTCTTTAATTGCAAGTAATACTGATACCTACATGGGGAAGGAAAAAAGAAAAAGCTAACATGGCCTTCTGAATTTAGAGAGAGCAGAAGAATATGCCTGCATTTCCTATTCTTCTCTGCATTCCCCATTTCGTGTAGAGGGTGGTCTTCCTCATCATTCAGACCCACTACTTGAAGGCCCTGTTTAACTCCTGCCTCCCGTAACATTTGTTCTAGAATCAGTAATCCTCAAACAGAGAGTCTACCCGAYTTCCATCTACTACCAAACTCTCCTTTTTTTTTTCACTTCTTCCTTCCTTGAAATTTTTATTACTGTCTCTTTACAATGTTCAGTAAACTGCTGCTGTATTGCTGCGTTCTCATCCAACAGATCTAACAATGTACATTCCTTCAATCCCAGTAGTGACTTTCATTTCTTCAGTACAGCTTCTGAGTACATTTTGTTCTCACTTTTAAGGCACCATTTTTTTAAATTTTAATCCTAGCTTTTCCTGCATCATCTTTTGTACATGCAACCACTTCGAGCTGTACTGTTTGTCCGTAGTCTGAGCCACTGTTTGCCTGAATTTTTCTGTCCCTTGCAGCCACCCATGGAACTTTCTATCTGGAGCCCCAAACACTTCAAAATTGCCATTACAGGTACAAGAGTTGGCCAAGGAGGACATCTGTCTCCTGTAAGTCTAGTTTTTAAAAGTTCTTGACTTCCTCATATTGTATGTCAATTCTTGTGAAGTAAGGCTTTAATACTGAGAATATGGAAGCATGTGCTATAATTCATTCATTGATTAGAAAGGTCAGGAAAACTTACATAAATTTATTCATGTTAAAGTACAGCTTCTCTCCACTATTTATTGCTCTGTTAAATACAGTGATAATTTATAAATATTGTTTAGACTCTTTGGGACCCTACTACAAAAACCCAGTATAACATATGACAGTACTTAACATTCCCATACAACACACATAAGAACAGCTGGGATTAAACCCAGGCCTTAAAAAAATAGGAAAGAAAAAGCCACCACATATCAAGGCCTTTGGGGAAACAAGTCTCCCCAGTCAAGGAGTAGAATGCAAGCTCCTTCCATAGAGCTGTTATTAAAAGTAAACATACAGGTGAAGAATCCTAACACTACCTTGAGAGAGCACATCTCTTTCTATGACATTTCCATTGCCTGGTGTTGATTAAACATAAAATTTGCTTAAACATGATCAATCTCACTTATATTGAAAAGGCATGAAAAAAATCCATAGATTTCTGAAACTAACCCAGACCCTTCCTATTGCATATCAAAGCAAGTACCATTCTCTAGGACACGAGCATAAGGCTGCCACATGAATCCCTGCTTTCTACCTGGCAGCACACTGCTAAATTGTTGTTAAAGCTCCAGCATAAACACCACATTCTTTAAATAAATTCCAGAGAAGACAAGTCAAGGTTTCAGGCAATTTAGCTATGCAGTGCAACACCATGATATTTATCTTACTGTAATATATTCTAATACACCAACACAGAATCTGAACCACAGATTTTTTTAGCCACTAAAATTGYTAAGAAACAGCACAAAACTTAAGAGTTTTCAGAAAAAAAACTCTTTCAGAAATTACACATAAAACAAAAACTAAAGCTTCCAGACACTGAGCAATAAGTGACAGCACCAGTGTCTGCACCAAGAGGTCTGTACCTGGTGACCCTGAAAAGCTTTCACAATTAGCAGGAAAGGTGTCTGGCAGGATATTTAAGTAACAGAGTGTAAAGACAGTTTCATGTAACCACAGAATAAATTAAGTTGAAAAGGATCTCCGAGTGATCATCTGCTTCAACTCCCCACTCACAGCAGGGCCAGCTTAAAGTTATCAGCTTAAATAGGTTAATTAATGCAAGCACAGATTTTTGAAATAATAAGTATATCTCTGTAATCCARCTACAGGTTTTGCATTTATTTGCCTACTAAAAATAATCACTAAATCAGATCAACTGTACACTTGAAGTCATTAGAGGCCAATGTATAGAGGCCCTTAGGAATAACTGGCTGGTATATATGCTCAATTTTATTTTTCCCCCTGCAGTCAGCACCAATTATGTGATGTTCCCCAGTTTCACAGTGGAAATGTACACACAATACCAGAACTAACATCCATATTTACAGCTCAGTGATACACAAAGAAAAAAATCTCAAGCTGAAGTCTAGCCTGTAGCTTGCCAATGTATTGTACTGAAAGTACAGAAAGTTCTGAAAGCAAAACAAAGGAAAACATAGCTCAATAAAATCTCCTTGTGCTTTGTGCAGGATGGATGTCCTCAAAAGCAACATATGGATCTTCAAAATCAAAAACAAAAGTCAAACATGAAGGGACTAAAATTATTAAAAGTCTGACCATGCAGGTATGTCTGTTACTTAAAACAGGTTTGAGCAGATTCCTAAGATCACAAARAAGTTAACTGCTTGCTTAGTTTATCACATATTTTAAATATTCCAAAGACAAATTAGCATACACTTTGAATGTAAATTCTGCCTAAAATAATTTTCATTTCCATAAAAGTAGGGGAGTGGAAARCAGACAACTTTTAAATAAACCATACATTTCAGAATGCTGACAGCAAATTTATAAACACACAGAGGTTTATAGTAAGAAGTTTACCTGGTAATCTCCTGCTGAAGCTGAGAAACAGTAGGCACATAGAACACTACTCCAAAATACACAGTTGGCTCCAAGGCATATTTGTCCAGCTGCTTTTTCAGAGGCTTGTCCAAATCTACCCATCTGCGCTGATTCTGCTTATTATAATACCAGAGACTGAAATATGTAATCTGAAAAGGAGACGTTTCAATGACRGAAAAAGGTTAGTATTGTGATGTAAGAGAAAATGTATTGTGCRAAAGTCTTGCTACTTAGAAATAAATGTTTTAAACACCGACTAAGGCTATGGGCTGTTGAAAACTTTAGAGAACTGAAGAGAGATTTCCCATAAAAGACAGACATTACATCCAGATAACCAACTGACATGTGTAAGGTCTCCTACCTAAAACTGTACCAAATCTACGCTTTACTTGCAAACAGTTCATAACTCATAACTCTGCTGTGGCAATTCACAGATGCTGTAGCAGGCATTCATGTGTGACAGGAAATCTAAGGGCAGTGAGGAAGGCAAATGGAAAATGACATGGGACAGCAGGAGAGTAAAGCATGGCTCCTCTGGAGACCTGGGCAGCAGGCTCAGGCTCACAGGGGATGCTGAAGGACAAAAGAGCTCAGGACAGCTGGTCAGCCAAAGCCGAGCTCATTAAAGCAGATGCAMGGCTCATCCCACGAGCAGGAAAATGACCTGATCCAGCAGAGCAGGGAGATACCCAGTGAGTGAGCAACTCCTGCCCAAGCCAAAACACAACACGCAGTATGCACTGGAACAGACTGCCCAAAAGGCTGAGGGATGTCACCCTTGGAGTCAAAATCCCATTGGACATCATCTTAAGCAACACAATCTAACGTTTATTAGATCCTCTCCCAGGAGGAGTCAGGATCAGAGTATTTTTTTCTTGCTCCRCAATACAGTTCTAAATTCATATTGCAGAGTCACCCAATTAAATTTAAATTTCTCCACTRTGTTTAAACTGGCTGAAATCTGCTCCCACAGTACTTATTTCATTCAGTCTGGACCAGCAAACAGAGGTGGACTGGAAAGTATTCACGTCATTGTCACAGCAGAACTAGATATCATAATTAGAAGTGTTTTAACCAAGCGAGGGAGATAAGTGAATGTTTCAAATTACTAATTAGGTCTGTAGGTATTTACATGAAAACTCTCCAAGCCTTTGCTACATAGACCTTATTGTATGTAGAAACTGTAGAAATGCCTTCAATCCAATATTTTTCCTTACATATTTTCAGATGTTTTTAAAGCAARATAAAGCTTTTAAGGATAAAGTTTTATCAAGCAGAGGAATGATTGATTTCTCTACATCAATAATTTCTGTGAATTAGACACAGAAAAATAATTTCCCTAGCAAAAAAAAAAATATATTTGCCTTTGTTTTCTCAAAGCTCTAACATTTTGGTACTTCGGAGCACAGATTTGAAATTCATTGGGGAGCAACAGCTCGTAGCAGAAAAAGGCCACTCCAGYAGATTCCTGCAAAAACTCGCCCATATACACGGCTGAAAATTCATATGCATACGCCTTAGTTTATAGTCTGAACAAGATGGAGAGTTCYCCCTCATGGCATTCCAGATTTTCCTCACAGCTCTGAGAGGCTGATTACGTGTGCAACAACCACAGCACGGGCACAAATGCCCCATCCCAAACTGCAGGGATGGAATCAGTGCTCCACAGCAACACAGACCATTAAGCAATGTGAGGCACAAAAGTCAAGCTGTAGCATTAAATTCATAAAACCGACTATTCCATAAAAATATTTTCTCTGGGATATTAGCAGAACTAGGACATTAGAACCAATTCTAAGGCATAATGTTCCTTTGACATTGCACACTGGCAAAATGTACTTCTTTGCTCCTCTCTTAATTGGCATAAACAGACTTAAAAGTGATTGTCGGTGGCTTTTGATGTTTGGGCGCTTTTTTCCCTAAGGTTTAAAAAGATCATCTGAGTTAAATTACTGTTACCATGTGATTGTAAAATAAATATTCACAAGATAGAAAATAACTATGTTCAGATGAAATCTGCTATTTAAACTTAAGATGGCTTCTATACACTCTGAAACAACTCTGACCCACACTGATAAAAAGACAGCCTGTAATACAGAAAATCAATTGAATTAGAACTATTCATAAAAGAAAAAGGCCGTTTTTCCTGTATAGAGAAAGAGATCTACAGAAAGTGCAAAATGAGAAAATTTAAAAATCATTATAGAGAAGYAATCTATTCCCAAATCAGAGTTCTCAGTAAAGCACATTCTACAAACCAAATTCTCCACATGTGTGTGTTCAACAATTCTAAATTCTGAAAGCCAAAAGTCAAATTTAGGAAGCCATAAATACTTCGATTTTCAAGACAAAAGAAATGTGACTCTGAATATAAGTAATASACACAACACTGATTTCTAAATTTCGCAGTCCAGGCACATAAAATTTGCTGATACCTTAAACAACATTTATTTCTATTCTTCGATTCTCCAACCATTAGATGATCTCCACCACCCCACAAGAATATTGTGAAGAGAGCATCTTAAGATACCATAAGACGTTTGGGGGAAAACCCGAACAGTAGTACCACAGACACTCCATTACGAAAGAAATATTATGTTCACTGCAACACCACATGCTGAAARGGATAAAATGTACTGAGTGACTGACTGCTCCTTAATCTTTCCTGCAGACTGAGTAAGGAAAGGAATGCATGTAAAAAGGTGTATTTCTCTTTCATCACAAGACTCCAAACACCATGCACACAGTCCCAGGAGCCAGTCAGACTATGATGCTAACATTCTGTAACCTCTGAGTGTTATCAGSGCAGTGCATGTTTAAGGCAAGACAAGTAAGTCTTAGCATATGACCAAAAGTAAGTAAAGTAGATGACCAAAAAATGAAATACAGGAGTTCAAAYTGAACTATATGCCATGAGCTACTTGATCTCACCTGCTAAGAAAAGCTCAAACAAGAAAGCCTTCTGCTCTGGCCCAGCCCACTTGTCTGACAGGACAACCACATCAGCCTCGGGCTGAGCACCATCTAAAATGTGGAACCACAACATTGTGGGTGAGAGCAGCAGCCATGGCAGAGACTGACAGCAAAGGGAACTGCTACAGCTGAAATACTTCTGTAAAGGATATCATACGAACATGTTTGCTAATTAACTAAAAATACCACAAAAAAAAGTACAGCAATTGTTTCAAAAACTCACTTGCTGCCTTGGTGTAACTTAAACCTCACAGAAGCACAGATGTACAACAAAGATGAGGAGAAAAAGARTACAAACTTCTGTTAACATCGCTACTGTTTCAAACTTTCTGATGTGAGATACGCCTGGTTCTACACCCTGAATCTAAACTGAATGTACAGACTATTTCTAAGGCATGATGATCATTAAGCAGATCTATTTCTTTGAAACAGACTGCCTTTTCTTGCCCACGCACAGAATCGAGCAGTTACAGGCACAACAGGTTAAGAAAGATGTTTCTATGTTTTAAAAATACCCTCTGGAATCTAGCATATCTTTAAACAAGCCATGCAAAATACTATGGACCAAAACAGATCTTCTGACTTCTATGCAAACCTTCACTTCAAGGGCAGAATTTGATCCTGTGAGTTTTCACAGAAGCTTATACACCCTGGAATATTCGCAGTGATTAAAATAGAACCCACTTTTATTCATTGCTAAAACATTTTATTATTAGCAGCTCAGGACAACATCCAGTGCTAAAAGGAATGGCATGACATAATTCTTAAAATATGTTAAGCTGTTAAGATTAACACTACTTTGAGGTTCGTTTATTTTAGTGACTTATTCATGACCCAACCCCTCTGAAGAAAATCAAATAGAAAAAAAAGAACGTATAATTTCTGCACAGTTACTTTCTATCTATTTGYTTTCTGACACTAGAGACAGTAAATATTTTTTCATAAAATTTCAAGAGCTATCAATACAAAAGTACTAAAAGCCCCACCCAGTATTTACAGCTCACAAGTTGGTGGGAGTAGAGGGACTCCATCATTAAAGTCAACCAAACTTCCTAAGCTAAGCAGAGGAGTTCCTCCCGGTACGAGAGCCACAAAACTACGTTACTGCAGGTAGCTACATTAGATCTTCTGGCACGATGTACAGTGAAAGTTAGAAACATGAGGCTGATCAGCCTTAAGAAGACACTAAGTAGAATCTTACTGTGGATTTCAATTGCATAAAAGGAGGGTATGGACAAGACAGAGCTGGAGTCTTCTTGTAAGTAATCACTGCAAGCATGAGAAGCACTGGGGACAAGCTGCAACGTGGGAAATTCCAATCAGATCAGGAAAAAAATTTCACAACAAGACTAGCCAAACACTGGAACAGATAGCCCAAAGAGATGTCAAATCTCTATCCTTGGAGGCACCTGGGTGGTAAACTCACCCAGGCAACCCCTAAACCACCTTTTCCTCCTGAGCAGAAGGTAGCACCATGCAACCCTTGGAGGTACCCTGATGCACAGCAGTGTTCAAAATTTACTTCAACCTTACATAGTTAGTAATATAGATTTAATAATATATTTTCCAGTTAATTTCCATATCCTATCTTCTAAATCTTACAAAATATGTCACAAATTACAAATAGACTGGAAAAGAGAATTGTTTTCTAATGGTTCACACAGTGCCGTTAACACAGTACAGAGCTAATTAATGCATTTGGCTACCTGCCTCAAGGGTATCTGAGGAATCACCATCCTAAAATGAGACAAGAAATTAAAAAAGAGAAAACAATAGCAGGGTTTACAGAAGAATGCAATCAAGATATATTTTCAGGTTTTTCCTCTTTTACACTTGTACATACAAATAAAACAAACCACGAGGTTTTCCTGATCAGAACGGTGAAAACACCTTCCCATTATKGAAGGATAAGCACTGCAGTCACACTCATAAAATCCCAGTTAGCCTGTGGGCTCCACCATGTCTAGCTTTATTATATGCTTGGATACAGAACAGCTCCTGCTATCAGGATACCACAGTTTAAATAAACCACATGCAGGAGAACTGGGTCAATAATCCTGCACTAAGCACAACTGCCAGATACCAAACGAACACCCCATGTTCAGAGCTACAGAAGGAGACACCAGGCCTTGAATATTCTCCAGAAAGTCCATTGTTACCACAGCAGACAACCACC